TCAATAATTATTGTATGTACATGTAATTTAAAAGACAGTATTTGCTGAAGAATAATGTCGAAAATATGAAAGATAAACGAGGTATATATACACAACAAAATAACACTGGTATATTTGAAGGAGGGGTGAATTGCCCCTTAGATCAAGAAAGATAAATGCAGCCTAATTTTCTATGTGCAGTCTAACTACTATGTTGGTCAAAAATTATTATGCGATTAAACACACGGAAACTTATTAAATTTGTAAACATTATCATAGACTTTAATTATTGCTTCCCCAAATACTTCATTTTGGGCGATACCCCTCCCCCCCCCCAAAAAAAAAAAATACGTGAACCAGAGCACTCTAGCCCAGTTTTTAATATGCTGATATGCCCCCCCCCCCCCTGATACCAATGCCTGGATCCAGGGCCTGTTGGATACGCCTCTGTACAACACACTGTCTATAATTTTGTTAACCACATGTTTATCCACCTCTGATATCATCTGATATATTGTCAAGTTCCAATCAACATCAACTGAAATAGAATTATACTTTTGTAATAAAATGAACTTCGATTCAAGTACAGGTCTTTGTTCGGACATTATAAGTTCTGCGGTTCGCAATGTTATACGATAACAACCCCTGTCACCCCCCCCCCTCCCCCTCCTTTCTAAAAAGATTGTTCTTCGATTGTGCAAAATAAATAGCGTAGTATCAAGGTTATTCTTATTCATTAGACGGAATGGATAATCAGTATGCAGAAGCAGCAGAACTGATGATAGCTGGGTCAGCTTAATTTGGAGATGTTTTTCAGATCTTTGAGTCTGAGTATTTTGAAGTGTTGAATGGATTCATAAACTTTTCGTGCGAAGCATCTTCGTCCCAGGAGAGCCTATAACAGGTAGGAATATTATAATTAAGCTTGTCAATCAGTGTAACACGATTTTAAATCACGCTGTGTGTTTTTTTCATCATTTTTATTAATTTGAAATTTGTTACAGAAAAGACAGAAGAAAGAAGCAGGTCTGCAGGAGGACATAGAAACGATAAGAAATTGAGAAAAGAAATCGACATTAATAATTTACCTCCTTTTCATTTTGACTCAATTAATCCTTTATTAATCTTCTTTGACAAGACTGGATCATACGATCATAAGGGAGGCCGGTGAAGGGATTGCGGAAGGAGTATGGGAAAGAGGATCGCAGGCGACTGGAGTGGGATTCGGGATAGGGGAAGGGAACATATTAATTATTCGATAGTTTTTTGTCTACATAATTAAAGTTACGAGAAGTTACTCCTTTTGAATTCAGGTAAGTGCCCCTTCACCTCCGATAATTGCCCCTATCCAAATCTGAGAGATGCTCGTTTAACGTTGATAAGTGCCCCTTTTCCCTCCTGATAAGTGCTCTTTTCATCTCTATTGAGCGCCCCTTTTCACCTTTTCTTTTAGTCTTATAAATGCTCTTTTCCCCCCCCCCTTTTTTTTATTTAGCGTCCTTACCTCTTCTCAAAATGTCCACTTATCATCTCTGATAAGTGCCCCGTTTATTTCAACATGTGTCTCGTTTTCTTTTTAATAAGAGCCACTTCCCCCTTTTCATAAAAGCCCCTTTTCTCCTCCGATAAACGCCCCGATTAAAATCTAATCGGTGCCCTTTTTCTTTCAACAAATACACATTTTCCTTAATATAAGTGCCCCTTTTCATATCTGGTCATTGCCACTTTTCAGGTTCAATAAATGCCCCTTTTCATCTCTGATAATTTCTCTTTTAACAAGGATATGTGCCCCTTTTATTTCTAACAAGGGACATATCTCCTTTTCATAAATGTTTTTGATAGTGCACCCCCCCCCCCCCACTTTGGAAGTCGCTCGGCCACCCCTGCTCTCCCAATACATATCTCTGGAATGTGCAGGTATTGTGGCGTAAGCTGGAATTAGGAAAAACCATAGAAAACCATATACTTATATTACTACTACTACTACTACTACTAATAATAATCTTTTAAAGTCCACTCCAAATTTTTACCGAAAATGGAAATTCTTCTTGCCCAATTGATCGTGAGCCCGGCAGCCACTGAGCAGCGCCAGATCATATTTGTTTAACTTTCATGGTTTTAGCATTTCTCTTATATTTACGGCATGTGAAAATAATTTATTGTGCCTTTGTAGATTACAGAAAAGCTTTGACCTTATTGATAGATCTGTTTAATGGTCGAATATTGTTTTGGGGTGGTATAAATGGTAAAATAATTAATGTGTTTATAATGTCTATGAAAATGCCAAGACTTGCATGCATAAAAATGGACACGATCTCGCTAATTTCTTTATTTGTAATATCGAGGTGCGTCAAGGTGACATTTATCTCCCCCGATTTTTGCAGTCTTCCTAAATGACTTTGAGTGATTTGTTAGTTAGGGTTAGATATGATTGTGTTCTCTCGAGATAACGAAAACTTGAATGATAATGATGTTGAGGCAAGGGGTATATTTTTGCACAATTCGAGAGAAAATATTTTTAGGCGAATCAGCCAGCCGGCGAACAAGCGGGAGGGGGGGGGGGGGGTAAGCACTAATTATATTTTGGGGGGCTCAACGGGGGGGAGGGGGTGAGTACTCTTTTTTTCTTAACATCCACCCCCCATCCTCCTTGAGCAACAAAAAAAAACATTTTTAATTTTTTACCAGGGGGGGGGGGGGGGCGGCATTTTCATCTATTGTTTTAAAAAGGTAAAATTAACGTTACTATCTTTTTTAATCTGTTTGTCCCCATTTGTAAACACCTTTAACAAAGATAACACACCCAAAACACCCCCCCCCCCCTCGATACGCCAATGTGTTGTATGTTGTTTTATGATTATGCTGGTGACATTGAAATTTGAGCAGAGTCAGCGGAAGAGCTGCAGGCTGCTTTGTCGGCAGTTTGTCAATATCGTAAACTCAGTGTGGAAACTATTTGTCAATCCAAGCAAGACCACGTATAGAGGGCGAGTTCGTGTATGGTGAAAACCCAGCTGAGGATATGGATGATTATATTTACTATGACTATATACTATGATGTTAATGTAATGGTTATAATTGTGAAGAGTCAAAAGAACCAATCTAGAAGCGGCAATGTATAATCTTGTGAGTAAAGCAAACAAAATTAGATATGCTTGCCATTGCTGAGAGTCTTTCAAAGTGAGGGGTACACCAACATAAAAGCCCGGGGGGGGGGGGTACTTGCCTAGTACGATATACGGGGATGTGCCACTCTAATGAGTTACTTTTTGGCAAAATATTCCTAAACATGGGATATGATTTTGTGCTGCTAAAAGCCTGCAAAATCCCTAAAAGTGCCCCACTTTTCAGAGTACGGATTATTATTTTTTTCAGGATAATATCTCACCCTTAATGTCGCTGAAGTGAAAATTCAAGATGCAAAATCCCGCAAAATTAATTAAAATCATTTTGCTTTTTCATCCAAAGTCCTCGCCGATGGTCACACATATTTATCAATATCATTGATTTGAGCTCCGCATCTGACTAATAATTTATAAACGGGTAATCCCCCCTCTCGAATCTTAAACATCAAGATTGCGTTCAAGTTGCATGTACGTCTCTAATAATGAGTACCATTTTCTGATTTGGGTTTAGACGCTCCAGCCGCTCACCTCCGTCCAAACCAAATCTGGGGGGGGGGGGGGGGGGGGTAAAGGGCACCTCTAAGGAATAACCTCGAAGCGAATAGAAGAACAAACACATTTCAAGTTTGGCAATTCGTTGTAATTCATACATTATCAAGGATTATATCAATATTTTATTGTTTCTCTGTCTACATGCATGGACCAAGATTGTGCATGCCTGGAACCATATACTACAGTAAGTTGTATGCATGTGGTTGTCTGAAGAAAATAAAATATAAAAAGATATGTGAGGTCGCATATTGTGACTGATAGATCTTACCATTTAGATGAAATCACAAATCACATTGAAAGAATGAATAAAACCTTCAATATGTCACTCAATCAGATACAAAGCGACGAGCGTAGAGAGCAATTTTGGGGAGACCGGGGTGATAAAATATCTTTGTAAGGGACAATGGGATCATTATGGTATATAGAGGGGCACCTTTCAAGAGTTATTTTTGTAAAGAAAAGAGACACTTATTTAAAGTAACAAGGAACAGCTGCCTATCATATTTGAAAGGGGCACTATTAAAATTCGGTTAGGGGCATGTGATAAGGGGTGTTCATCAGCGAAAAAGGGGCACTTATAAGAAATGGAAGTGCACTGGGCTTTGATTACAAAGAAAAAGGGACACTTCTGCAGCTTTGAAGCAGACGTGAAAAGGGGCACTTATAAGGGCACTAAGAAAAACTCCGTCGTGGACTAAGATACGTGATACCCTACTAACACACACCAACAATCAACTAAATCTTCATCAGTTGTTCAAATAATGGTCATGATTTTAAATTCGTCTTGTTTTTTTACCTCTTTCATGTCAATTTTCTTATCTTTTTTTGAGCACTTTTCCTAATTAGACCCTCTAAGTTACACTTTCTCAAAGGTTTCACGGCTAACCACCGACGAAGGGATGCTGGCGCGCGTGGGTAAAGTAAGCGACCGTAATAACGATCATCATCGTCATAATGTGAATTACTTACATAAATTTAAAGAGGATCTACAATACACCAGTTTACAGTTGTATCAGTGCGCATGCGCAGACAGTTGATCTCGGGTCACTGGCCCCGGAAGCGGGGTCAGTGGCCCCGGAAGCGGGGCCAATAACTTTTGACCAGTGGTATTTATGCGTAAATTAAGATTGCGCCCATGCAAATGATGATGTGCGCGCACAACGCAGCGCGTAGGGCAGTGATATCATCAAAATTTGCATGGGCGCAATCCTAATTTACGCATAAATACATGACCTCTAGGTCATTGGCTTTGTTTAAAATGGCGCACACAACTGTAAACTGGTGTATTACAGTCGCTTACTTCACGCACGCGCACGCCAGCACCCCTTCGTCGGTACGTATACGTATACTGTGCACCGGTTTGCCGTGAAACCTGTGAGAAAGTGCTTAGACTATTCGAATATCTTCAGTTTTAGGAAAATTACTCCAAAAGAGATAACCCAACGAAACAGGTAAGAAACATAACGACTTTTAAATCATAACCATTATTGAACAAGTTAACGACATGCGGAATACCATACCAAATTTAGAAGACTCAGAAGAAGATTTAGTTGATTTGTTGTATGTTTAGTAATAGTAGGGTATCTCCACGCCGGAGTTACGGGCCAAAGTCTGGGCTTGACTGCCATGGAGTGCGAGCACAACTTATTATGATAATCATTGATTTTTTTTAAAAATTTGTTATTGTAGGTCTAGGAGATTTCATTGTTTTTAGAGTTTGATTTCATGCATTGTAGGATTGAGAGTAGGCTGGTATGGAATTATGACAAATTTATCCTTTGTAAATTACAGAATTGTAACATTAAAATAAATCTTTTGTTTGGCATTCCTGTGATCGATTTGTGAAAAAGTGAAGGTTTTAGAAAATGTTCATTTTAAAAATTCTATTCGAGGATCAGTGTATTCAGACGTTGTGTGCCTGGACAGCTCGACACAATCAGACAGTTGATTTAAAACGGCAATTTGCAGATGTTTACTAGCAATATAATTCATAGTGGTTCTTTCACTGAAGTCTCAATCCCAAGGTTGAGGGTTTGAGCTCTGGCCAGCCTGGTACTAAGTAATAATATCATTTGGCAACTGGCAAGACATTAATCCATGTTACCTGATATGGTAAGGAGCTACATATTTGGCAGCTTGGCCATGACCAATGTTATAATACCAGAGACCCTAATGTAAATGACGAGAAGCCACCATTATTATTATTTTATTTATTTTAATTTATTTATTTTCCACATACCGATAGGCCTATGGGAAGGACCCCCTTTTCAGCTAAAAGCTGGTCTTCAAAGGGGTTCATCCACTAGATAAAGATACAAAATGTTGATAAAATACATTTGAAATATAATTACAAAATGAAAAACAAACAAACTGTTAACCTATTCAAAACTAGTCTCAAGACACATTTATTCAAAATTGCGTTTGATGATTAATTAACTCTGTTCACTTTGACGTGTATTCCATATGTCTTGTAATTTGTATGTCTATTGCATTTTTAGTTTTGTATAAGATGTAATTGTATGTCATTCTATTTTGTGTGTATAGTGCTTAGAGACTTCGGTGGTAAGCGCTTTATAAGTAACGTTTTTATTATTATTATTATAAACAAAAAAACAAACAAAAAAAAACAAACAAACAAAATTATTATATATAAATAAATTTAGGAAAAGGTGCAGGATAGGGGAAAGAAAGACAAGGAATAAAGAGCAAAAGGGAAAACCAAGTATACAATGGTTGCATATAAAACAAATAAAAACAAAATCAAACAAATCATCAGATGAGGTTACTCTGAAGCATTCAAATGCTTGGATTGAGAATACTGATTGAGCGAAGGTATTAAGTGAATTTCACATCTTTCAACCTCGATGGACAAGTGAACGTTTAATTACCATAATGTTTAGAAGCTTTCAATTTTAATCAGGCTCTGGTTTTTCATACAGTTTAGTTTATGGATTTGGATTTGTGTGAATTTTAAACTTATTAATTCTAATGATATGTGTTTTTGTTGTTATCATACCATTGCCAGGTCCTCGCTCTTCATCAAGATGGATTCATCATTGGATACCTTCTGTGGGCATTCACTCAACAATTACACCTTCTGGAAGCACAGTATCTACGGCCATTGCTACGAACAATTGGTGTTTGTTCTTACTAGTCATGGCTTGTTAGCCCTCATTTGTGCACTCTACATAGATTACATCAATAACAAACTAGCCAGCCCTAATCTCAAGAGATCAAAATCCTTGCATATTCGATTTGTCATCACCCTCTTGTCTGCCCTGGTACCTATATTGAGCATTTTACTTCAAAAATTCACTGGAAGTGGAACTATAAGACCAGCTCCTGTAGATTATCTTGTAAATGTAACATCCTCCGTAGCATGGCTTCTACTATCGTTGTACTTGTGGAAGCTGAGACGTCAGAGTATACAGCTGGTGAGAACACACAAACCAGTGATAGCTATATGGGCATTGACATTTATAGCTGTATGTATTCGTCTAAGTACTGTCATCAAACAACTGCTGAATCAAGATGACACACTTGCGTCTGGGGAGGAAGGTACCATCATTGCATCGATAGTACTCCAAGCTCTCTACCTTGGAACCTTATTACCAGGACCAAGGCACACATCTGTGCACCATGAGTTTGGAGGTACCTCTTTATATCAGAGCATCAATGAGGATATTGGAGGAGAGGATCGTGAACCTCTTCTTAGTACATCTTCAAGGAAATCATCTGACATCATTAACCTCGGCATTGCAGAGGAGACTGCTAGTCTGCTGTCCAAGGCTACTTTCTGGTGGACTCGACCTCTCATGCGTAAGGGTGCTAAAGGGCAGCTTTCGAGGTCCACCGATGTCTTCTATTTACCAAAGAAACTCACAGCCAGCCATGTTGAATCATACTTTTCTACTAAGTATCCCCAAGGATCAGCGGCTTTTGCGGAAGATGTATTCACCACCAACAAGTCCAACCATAATGCACAGTCTCATGAAGATGCAGAGAGAAAGGGATACGGCAGCACACAAGCAAGATCAGTGAAGCAAGAGGAAAACATTGTTCCAGAATTTACCATTGAAGATGGATGCAAGAATGAGCCAGAGGTGACTCTCTGCAGAGCGTTGTTCAAAGCTTATGGTGTCAAGTTCTTCCTGCTGGGTATCGTAAAATTCTTAGCAAACTGCCTTACATTTGGAGGGCCATTGTTGTTAAATGCCTTGGTGTCTTTCATGGAGAATAGGAACGAACCCATGAGATATGGTTACTACTATGCTCTTGGTCTGTTTCTGGTCACTTTCTCCGCTGCCATGCTCGGCACTCATTTTAACTATCAGATATCCAAAATACAAATCCAGGTTCGAGCAGCATTGATTACAACTGTATATAGGAAGTCATTATCTGTAAGCGCGACGACGCTGTCAGCATTTACAACTGGTCAAATTGTGAACTTTATGAGTGTGGATACAGGGAGGATAGTCAACTTCTGTAACAGCTTTCATGCATTCTGGAGTCTTCCATTTGAAGTGGCTGTTGCCCTCTATTTACTTTACCAACAGGTATGTCTTCTTTATCATTAAATGACCATCAGTAGTTTGATAAAATGTTCAGAAATATGCACTTTTATGTAAAATGTTCGACAAAAATAGTTTACATGTAATTTGATCTCTTGTTATCTTCCACTTGTGGTAATAATATTGTTTTATCAAAACCATAATAATCATTTTTTGCATGAAATACAGTGTAGCCATGCAGTTTAAATTTCATCAATGAAGTATTATAAAACGAAGCTCTATTCATCAACCTATCACTATTTCTAAAGAATGCTCCTTTCAATGATTATTGTACAGGTGGGTGTGTCTTTCCTAGCTGGTCTCGCCTTTGCTATTCTTCTCATGCCCTTAACTAAGTGCCTTATGGAGAGAATCCAGAAGCTCAACACAGATATGATGAAACAGAAAGATGGCAGAGTTAAGGTAACAAAATCAGATATCTTATGATGGGGAATATGAAATCATTAATTGTACTAAAAGTTCAGTAGTTTCAACTTTCCAGTCCAGTGGACTATCGTGGCACACATCCTTGAATGGTTTGTGAGGAGAGCTATTGTGGGTTACATGTGATTCTATAAGCCTGGTAAATAAATCTTGCACTATTGATACAAAGAAAGCTATGAATTTAGTGAAGATGTTTTTATATTACATTTCATATCATTGAAATTATAAATTAAAATGGGAAGTGTACGTGCAATTATGAATGTACCGTAATTCCTTTAAACCATCGATGAGGAATGAAAGAAGAAAAAAAATGACAGTTGGAAAAAAAGAGGAATATACAGAACCAGAGTTATCTAAGAAAATATGCCTTCTGACAGAAATATTTTGTTCATTTTTTCTCTCTTCCAAACCAGATAATGAATGAAGTGTTGAATGGGATACGTGTGATCAAGTTCTATGCATGGGAGCGTCACTTTAAGAAACAGATTGATGATTTGCGTCAAGATGAGCTAAGCAGTCTGAAGGGTATCAAGTACTTGGATGCTATGTGTGTCTACTTCTGGGCTACTACACCGGTTCTTATCTCTCTCCTCACATTCACAACGTATGCATTGATTGGCAATGATCTCACTGCTGCAAAGGTTTGTTAAAATGGAGTGCTGCAATATTCTCACATTGATTTAGTGAACTATTCAGACTGGAAAAACAGTATGAATACATCCAATTTCATTTTGAGTGGAAGTATAACAAACAAAAAATTGCCATAAATAAATCTAACAAATCAAAATGGGGAAAAAATACTAGAATAATGTTCTTTTTGTTTGCACATATTTGGTCTTTGTTTTGTTTATTCAATTGTTGTAAGGTGACTGCATTGACATAATTTTAAATTCATTCCTTTTTGCCCAAACAGGTATTGTATGGATGGGGTAATTACAGATATGACAGCTAATACTTTGGGGCTTCTTGCATTATGCTTATACAGTCAAACATGCTTTAGTGACCACCTGTCTACAAAGACCACATGTTTTGTTTCCCTTAAAAATAGTTTCTCATTGAAAAATGTAGTTAAAGGGACCTGTCTACAAAGACCACTTTTGGTTTTGTCCCTTGGGCAGTCGCTATTGACAGGTTTGACTGTAATTCTACTTTGTCATTTATTGCACTTGCAGATAATGGACTGAAACTAATTTCATATATCCATTCCTCTCTGATTTCTTTAATCTCTGAGTAGGTGTTCACAAGTCTTGCACTGTTTTCCATTCTGATTGGCCCTCTCAATGCTTTCCCTTGGGTATTGAATGGAGTCATAGAATCATGGGTATCCATCAAGAGAGTCCAAGAATTCATGGATCTAGAGGAGTCAGACCTAGCCACTTATTATCAATCAGGTAAGACACATTCGGGTTGGCCAGCCCTTTTTTTGTGGCTATATTGTATTAATAGGGTTTTTATAGTCTATCAAATTGTAGTATAAAATAAGTAAAATACTTTAGTTTACTAACCACGATATCATGTTATAAGAAGGAAAATGGATAAAGATTTTGCTTTTGTACTTGTCTATAACATTGTAGCATGATTAATTTTTTAATTTTTGTTGAAAGAATGATTGTGGGCTTTCCAATAAATGTTATAGCTCTAGGCCCCTCTTTTTTTCATGAGAACTTCTGTTAAAGTAAAAGCACGAAAAGAATATGCTGCCTTGAAAAATTTAGAATTTTCCTATGTCTAGTTTCATGAGAATGAATCATATTGTTATTCATGTCAATCAATATTCAGTAAATATTTCGTGCTGTATGTACATGCATGTCGAGCTCAATGTGACCACCCTTTGAGCAGATGATTAAAGCAAATTTATGTCAAAGTAATTATTACCTTGAACCATGAATGTAACACATATTTGACTACAGAAGTTTTGCTTATGATGACATGACTGCCATACTGTTGGTTTAAAGATCAGTAAATTATTTCAACGTTACATAACTTACATGTAAGATTATATTGATTTATTCATCATCAGAAAACTGCCTCTCAGAAGGAGAGCAGCTAAACATCAATCAAGGCTCATTTTATTGGGAACATCCCAAGAAAAAGGAAGAAAAGAAAGAAGATGAAGAGGAAGGTGATGGAAAGAAGGATGAGGGGAAGAGCATGACCCGAAAAGATGACGATACAAGACAACTTGTTCCAGATGAAGATGCAATTGATGATGATGATGATAAGCATTATGAACCATTGAAGCTTCAAGACATTAATTTAAATGTCTTCAAGGTAAAATCAGGTGCATCCATAACTATCCCTTTTAAAGTCTGCCTTTTCGCAAAATAAAAGTGAAAATTTAAAATGTTTTTTAATGTAGAGTGTATTGTAGCTAAGATTAAAGCTGAGCCTGAACAGTTTCTTTGTAAGTAAAGATTATGTCAGTGTACCAACTTGAGTCAAGATGACTAATATTTTGTGGCTGTCTTTATTTACCATTAGTTGTACTTACATCGTAATAGAGTTATCCAAAAGGTTGAGTTGATTATGTTGTCAAACGATGTTTTGTTATGCGCATGGCCAAAGAACAGTAGCAGGACAATTTATAATGGTTTAAATGCCTTTGAAAACACTGTGCTACACAGTTGTATCATCCACCGGACGGTTCTTCTTCAATTAATGCCACACTGTCCTACTTGTAGCTACTTGCTCCCTCTATATAGAAAACAATGCCTAATCGGTGACCATTGGTCCCCCATGATCCTCCTTTTCTTATGTTATTTGAGAGCTGAGTTGATGAGATGACCACCTGTGCAGTGACCTTGCAGGGTGCTCTAATCCCTCCTATAAACTACCAGTAGTACAGTTAAGCTTTAACGTCTGAACTGTTGTGTTTATCATTTGCTTTAAAATCTCCAGGGTCAGTTGGTCGGAGTGATTGGTAAAGTAGGATCAGGAAAGAGTTCTCTCTTCTCGGCCATCTTAGCTGACATGGTCAAGGAGAATGGAAGCATAAGTATAGCTGGATTCGGTCAAGGATTTGGACTAGCCACTCAAGAGCCATGGTTACAACACGCTACGGTCAAAGAGAATATCCTGTTTGGAAAGGCCTACAATGCTGACAGATATATGAGTGTGGTTGAAGCATGTGCTCTCATTGAAGACCTCAGGGTATGTAGTCTTAATTTCTTTTGATATAAGCCTATGCTCCTGAATTCTTTTTGTACTCTGATGGAGATATGCTGTAAAAACATGAATACTGAAATAATGCCCTTCAATTATTGACTGGGCATGCCAATACATCGCAAGAGACAAAATTAACACTTTATTAACTGATATTCACCTGGTACGTTTTGTGTAGTGTATGTATATTTTAAAGGAATGTTTTTGATTGAATATAGGCTTTCAATTTTCTTTTTAACTAAGTTCAAGAAAATTTAAAAGAATTGAAAAAAAAGATGATTAGTGCCATTTATTTACGATGACCGCCTTCATGTCTGTTTGTCCCCCAAACTGTTCCAACTTTAATGCTACCTTGGAATGGAACTGTAAAACAGAACTCCATTCTTGACAATTTTACGGGGTAATAGTATATCTGTAAAGCGCTTAAAGACATTTGTATTTAGCGCTAGATAAAAGCTGAATATTATTATTATTATTTTTATCATTTAATCTCTGTATTTTGCCATGTATAGATACTGCCTGCTGGAGATGAAACAGAGGTTGGTGAGAATGGAATCACTCTTAGTGGTGGACAGAAAGCAAGGGTTGCTCTGGCCAGAGCAGTCTATCAGGTACGAGAAGAATAGAGATGGCCCGTTGCACAAAACTTACCATCGATGGTAACTACCATGGAAACCTTGATTTTGATTGGCTGTTGAGCCCTGTTACCATGATAGTTGCCATTGATGGCAAAGTTACCATCAATGGTAAGTTTTATGCAATGGGCCAAGACATCACAATATGGGTTTGTTATGGCTATGTATTGCTGACTTTGTAATATATACAAACTTGCTGCTGTGAAAATTGCAATCCCATAACATAACACAGATCCATTAAAGAAGATATGTCAGAAAACAAGCACTCTTTTGTATATGTATGTTAAAGCAGATTAGTAAATGTCTCATGGAAATTTGGTAACTAAAAGGTACAGACTAGGATATTTCAACCTAAGTCTCTTTTTGCTTTGAAAGTGAAGTAATGAGTTTGTTTTGACAGTGATATCGTCCATTCTCGTTTCCTCAGGACAGTGACATCTATCTCCTTGATGATCCCTTGGCTGCTGTTGATGCTGACGTAGGACAACACATCTTCTCCAAGTGCATCATGGGATTACTTCGAAACAAGACGCGTGTCGTATGCACCCACCACACCCGTTACTTGGTGGAGGCTGATGTGGTAGTGGTCATGGATGATTTCAAGATTGTGGATATAGGTGAGAAAGCAATAATAATAATAATAGGCATTTCTATAGCGCCGTCTATCTAGAAATTTTATTATTACCCCGGCCTTAGCATTTCAAAGAATTAATTCCTGCCAGGTACCCATTTACATCGCCTGAGTTGAGTGTGGCAAATGTAGATCAATGTCTTGCCAAAGGACATTAGTGCAGCGGCGGGACTCGAACCACGGACCTTGTGAGCAACAGTCAGGCGACGTATCCACTCGACCACGACACCTCTACCAATAATCTGTCAATTTTTCCTCGGATATTCTAATTTGTGGAGATGGAATCAAGAAAATGGGAATGATCTGATGGTTTACATCTTGGTGATTCCTCAGTGACAAGTTCTATTGAGATAATTTCATCTCCTTTTTACATATTAAATTCATATTTTGTAAATTTTCTTAGATTTACTGTTAAACATTCTGTTCCTCATATTATTTGGTGATTAAAGGTAATACAAAATTTTTGGTATGGGGTCATGAATTTGGTTCAAATTAATATATTGGAAGCATATGTGATCCTACAATATTCATTGATCATTGTCGCGGTTGAAATCGGGTCTAAAGTTATGAAATTGTAAATAATAAACTCTTTAAGTTGTATAGCTCCCTCTCAAGGTCAAGATATTAATTAAGCTGTACAACAATGTTTCTTGACTAAACTCAACCGATTAGCTATTCCCGTTTGGAAATTATATATCACAACTACATATTCTGAAATTTTCATGGTCGCAGCTACCATTGTACAGCCGTAGGCGCTATTTGAAATTTATCAAAATTTACCGGGAGCACCAGTAAATTTCTATATTCAATTTTTCTCGAAAGCAGTAGTGTTTTAGGGGCTAAATTTTCTAGTGCTTATAATACATCCACAGGGGCATCCAAATATATTAAAATTGTAAAGAATTACTATCCACCCATTTCTCTCAGGTCCTCCCAGTGTTGTCTTCAAGCAATCTCAGTTTGCTACCCACATCAATTACAACAAACCTGAGAGCGATGGCGATGACAAGGTCGTTGAGACGGAGGTCAAAGGTCAGGATGTCGACACCAAGAAATTGGTAGAAGAGGAGGAGAAAGAAGAAGGCAGTGTCAAATTTGGAGTCTATAAATCATACTGGAACGCTGTTGGAACTCTACTAGCTGTGTGTGTATTCCTGTCCTTCGTTCTCATGCAAGGTACCTATATTCATGTTTAAAATGTTAATCCCCATGTTTTTATCTGGGAGACAACGTATACTAGTATTTTTTTCATTCATAAATGTATCTTACACCATTCTCATCACTATCAGACATCAGATACCATTTTATTAAAATAAATAATATTCAAAAACATTAGTTTTTCATCTTGCAAGTAGCGGGTGGTCACTCCTCCTTCTTTATTTTATTTTCCCTTCCAGGGTCAAAGAATGTGAGTGACTGGTGGTTATCATATTGGGTCGGTCACACAAGAGGAACCCCACCCAGCAACCATACCACCCATCCACCACCTGTTACACACCAATCATCTTTGATTGAACCAATCTACCTATCACTTGGTCTGGAAACACATCACTACCAGTAAGTACTATCAGGGTCACCATTCAGTTACAGGTTTTCATCTTTTGTTTTTATAGCAATCAACATTCGTCTGTGTGCAGGTCACCAAGTCATGACAATCATGATAGCTTTCTAAGAGTATGTGGGTAATTCGGAGGATAAAGTATAGGGCATGATTTCAAAAGGGAGAAGGAACCATGCATTTACTTGGGTAGCCATGAATTGTATACAAAATCCAATATATTGGGGAGATGTATGAACCGGAACCTATAAAAGGTTACCAACTCTACAAGAGCAGTGAATCCTATAGATACAAGGAACAGTTATAATACAGATAGGGTGAGTATGATAGAGAAAATAAATTTCTTAAGGCTTACTATTAATTAAATAGAAATTGTTTACTATTTCATAGAGTATATTAACCATATGAACAAACAGACTATTGATGATCACTGGCATCCACGCTCTATTGATTTGAGCAGGGTCTGATAGATGAATGGTGGTTCTCTCAAGTATACATATATTTTTGTTTTAATAACAGGTCTTTGAGTGAGTATCATTCAGACACGGACAACTCATCTTCCTTAGAGTTCTACTTGGGGATCTATGGAGGCTTGATAGGTGCCAACTCTATCTTCACACTCCTGAGAGCATTCTTATTTGCCTATGGAGGTATACAGGCTGCTACGATGATTCATGATGGGCTACTGAAGAGTATTCTTAGGGTAAGTTTAATAGGTGTCAATTCTGTATTAACTCTACTTATAGTATTCTTCTTTGTAATTTAAGTAATTGTTAATTTTGCAGTTATGTTGGTAATATTTTATTTTCTAGGTAATTTAAGTGATTTTAATTCCATTAGTAATATTGATTGTTCTTGGATTAATCTTGATTTGTGTGCAGCTCTTTGAAACTTTTATGTCACAAGCGCTTTATAAATTTGTTGTATTTTTTTTTTGGAAGAGCATTTTCCAGTTATGATCAATAATACAGATTGGAATTATATGACTACACTGACAAAGATTTTTCAAACTGAGGAGGGTCAGTAGATCATGTGTGCTTGATGCATAAATCTGCAAGCTTTCAGAGAAATATGAAATGAAGGTTTATTGAATAAGGTCATAACTGATGTATGTTCCTGTCATCAGCTTTGATGTGTAATGACTACTACTACTACTACTACTACTACTACTACTACTACTACTACTACTACTACTACTACTAATAATAATAATCTAATGATGCCATTTAAGCATTTTGATGGATTTCATATTCTGATAAAGCAAACATTCAATACAAAAAGTATATGTCTTGTTACGACTCAGTGGGTTTCATGACTCAAACAATTAATAAATTTCTCTTCTTTTTGTCAGGCTCCAATTTCATTCTTTGAGAAAACTCCAGTTGGTCGAATCATCAACCGTTTCTCCTCTGATGTGTTCACCATTGACTTTGGTCTGCCCTTCGTACTCAACATCCTACTATCCCAAGCATTCAGTTTCCTGGGAACGGTTGTAATCACATGCTATGGTCTGCCTTGGTTCACCCTGTGCCTCATACCGATTGGTATCATGTATTATTACATTCAGGTATGTGAATGTTATTTGTTCTCTACAAACCTTTCCACCATGAACATTATTTTCATAAATCAGATTAGTTGTATAATATTTCAGTTTCCTTATTTGTGACCATGAGTTTATTTATCTGTGCAGTAACTTATGTGTAAATTAAGAATTACTATCAAACTGTAGGCATGAGTATGTAGTAGTGAGTACATTTGAATGAATATGTTTTATTCCAAAAAACTTGTTTTATTCACCGCCACAAAATTGCAATCTTCCACTTAGATTTGGGGTTATCCATATATCCAAACATAGATTGAGAGTTTAAATTTCAATTCATAGTTAATTGTATATTGCACAATAGTAGTTAGATTCCTCTAGTGCTTGAAAAGAAATATTTGCATACCAATACTCAAAATTTTTAATATTTCAAATTTCAATTTCAATCTTCTTGCATATCTGTTTTCTTCAGAACTATTATCGTAAGACATCCAGGGAGTTACGTCGTATCTACAGCATATCAAATTCAGCAATCTACAGCCACTTCTCAGAGACACTAGCAGGGTTGTCTGTCATCAAGGGCATGAGGGCTACAAGAAGGTATGTGATCATGTTGATCTTACTGTGGGTTTATATCCTGATCTCAATTGGAATGTGAATGAGCATTTGATCAGAAATTCTGATATCTGATCTATCTAATATATGCTTCATGATCTGTTCTGGTCTCATATTTTGTTTTGTCTCGTTTCCAAATGTTTTAATGGCTAAATAAGTTTTATAATAACAGCTGTGTCCTTAAGCACACCAGCTCTGACAGGGCAGGGAAAATTTATGTATAACAAAGGTTATACAAACATGGCCATTTATGAAATAGTATGCAATCATAATTATAGTTCATCATCATCAACACATTAACTTATGACATTTATGACATTTTTTTAACTTACATAAATAATGCACATGTATACTGGCTTCCTGACTCTGTCACTGCATAAGTTGTCACTAAATTTCATGAAATACAAGAATTGAAGTAATCTAAAATTTTCTTTTATTCAACATCTCATGTCCTCTTTTTATTTGGTCGTAGATATATTTTGACATAGGTGTGGTATTATAGGTATATACATGTACGCTTTCATTTTCATTTCAAAAGAACCTTGTCTGTCATAACTTCTTTACACAGATTCCGACTTGAAAATCGGTCCAAGTTGGAGCTGAATCAGCGTGCCTGGTTTAGTAGTAACACAGTCACCTACTGGTTAGCCTTCCGATTGCAGATGATTGGTGTTGGCATGATTACAGCCGTAGCTGTTATAGCGGTACTGGAGCATCATTTCCAGACTGTAGATCCAGGTTTGTAAATGAAAATTGTCAATCTTCTGTGTTTCCTCATCATGAACGTTCCAATATGCCCTCAGAATGATGTTGATCCCAATTTGTTTCCTTAAAAGAGGCGTTGGGGTAAATTTTGAAAAATTCAAAAACCGCCACTTTTTGGCAAAAATGGCAAGGGATTTTACAGGTAGCTCATCATTTTTGCCAAAAATCAAAAATTTTCAATGATCTTTGTTTTCTCATCATGAAAGTCCCAAATTGCCTTCAGAATTATTATGAGTTCAGGCAAATTGGGGAAAATTTGAAAATCACAATTTTTTGCCAAAAATCACAATTTTTCATTCATCTTTGTTTTTAGTTTTGAAATGAGAAGAATCTGTAGTGAATAGGAAGATTTACTGCAAAAGCAAATATTAATAGTTGTTTCTGCATGCACTTTTTTACATCTTAATCGGTACCATAACAGTTCAAAATGAAGAGTCCCTCATTTTTATTGATCACTTGGTTGAAAAGGAAGATAAATTTTATTTCAGTAAGCTCATTCGTCAAAGATCAACAAAATTTGTGTAGTAAAAATTGTATGTAAAAAGGCTTTTTTGTATGCCTTGACAATGACGGTTCTTTGCTTTTTTTAATAATTTGTTTTTCATTATAGGCCTTGTAGGGCTAGCTATATCGTACGCCTTGTCGATCACAAACCTGCTTATCAGTGCCATCAACACATTGACAGAGACAGAGAAGAACATGATAAGTGCAGAGCGAACGCATCACTATACGGTGGCCATACCAGCTGAGGTGCAAGGTGGACTTATTCAGGTATGTGATAGGATTTTGTAAGTTTTTTGTATTGACATAGTTTAGTTTGAAGCTCTCATTTTGATTGTTATAATATTTTCTTGTGAATATTGAATGATCATAGTGCCCTATTCATAAATTAAAAAGCATATGATTTGTATAAGAGCACTTGTAGGTTGTAGTCTTGGTCAATTTTATATTGTAAAAGTGGCTCATGTCACCTCTGATCCGTGTGGGATAATGATATCTGCAAAAGAGGTAAAAGTACAATATTTTCCCATGTTCCCCTCTATAATGTTGATGAATTTATAGTTTCCTTAAAGCCCCAATGCATTACTTATAGCTACTCGCGCGCTTCGAGAGCAAACAATGCCTAATTGATGACCATTGGTCCCCCAATGATCCTCTTTTTCTTATGTTATTTGAGAGCTGATTTGATGAGATAATCACCCGTCAGTGACCATGCAGGGAGGTCTAATCCCTCCTGGCCAAACTAGTGCAGTGGGGTTTTAACATGCTCTGAATTTCACAGATATAATTCTCAGAGTTGTCGGTCAGGTTGTTTGCTTGATGACTACACATCTTTATATGTTGTAGGTACCTGCTCTATGGCCTCACAGTGGTGTAGTCAAGTTTGACAATGTTCACTTCTCCTACCGAGAGGATCACCCCAAGGCTCTGGATGGAGTCAGCTTCGAGACCAAACCTGGAGAGAAGATTGGTATCGTTGGAAGGACTGGGTCTGGGAAGTCCACTCTGTTCCTGGTCCTTTTCAGGATGGTCCAGATCCAGCAAGGCACTGTGTCCATTGATGGAGTAAACCTGGCCGATATGTCTCTAGAAGATGTCAGGTGAGTAGCCTTCAGCTCCTTTCACCAATTATTTAGTTTAGCCTTTATTTGGGATTATCTATCAATATTTAATTGAGCCTTTATTTGGGATGATCTATCAATATCAATATTGCTGAACACTCTATCAGTATGAGGAGAACATCAATCTAGATTTATTAGTATTAACAAAACAATTAAATCATCTCAAATATTTTTTTAGCTAAATAGGATTTTGTTTGATTGTGTTTCTTCACAATTTCATGTACTAAATTCAGTCTCTTTTAAAGGGTATTGTGAAAGTGATATACAGCAAGATATGTTTGTTTAAATTCCTTGTCCACTGCTCAATCCAAAGCGGTGGGTTTTAATCAAGATGTATAACCATTAAACCGTTACAAACTGTGTCAATATTTTGTGTACTTCATAGGTCTAGACTAGCTATCATACCCCAGGACCCATTCATATTCAGTGGTACGGTCAGAGAGAACATAGACCCGGTCGGTCAGCGTAGTGATTCAGAGCTATGGTGCGTCTTGGAGAAGTGCCACGTCAAAGACGTCATCGTCCGGATGGGAGGTCTAGATGCAATGGCTGGTGAGGGAGGGAAACAGTTCTCTACCGGTCAAAAACAACTGGTTTGTCTGGCTAGAGCCATGCTGACCAAGGCGAAGGTGGGTCAAACTTTTAAACTTTACTACCATAGTTTCGAAGGGGCACAAACCAGATATAGAGGGTTCAGTGACACAAAGACGTAACTCCATATTTTGCAAAAATGAGTATTTGATATCAAAATGTTCAGAAAAGTGTGGGCTTTCCAGGAAACACAAAGCATTAACTCCACCCAACACCCACATTGAAGTTAATGGCTAGTGAAACAAAGACTTAACTCTTTAAGGCCCAAGTGCTCTGTCAAAAAAAAAAATGGAGTTACATCTGTGTGTCACTGACCCCTCGATATGTATATATATATGCAAGAAGTCAGTTCTGAGCTGTTTAGACCAGAATATTTCACACATTCCTTTTAATAAACCCAGTTGTTCTACATGGAACTAGCATTCCAGCAGTCCTTTATTATGTTTGTCTCTTTCTTTGGAAAATATGCTGTAGATATGCAAGATGGACAATGATTAACTTTCTGAAGAAGTCATGGGATCAAGTTGACAAAAGCGTAGAACTAAATATATCCTTTTTTTTAATTGAAAGGTTTTGTGCATTGATGAAGCAACTGCCAGTGTTGACATGGAAACGGATGACCTACTCCAGCAGGCCATCAAAGAGGAGTTCAGAGATAACACCGTCCTGACGATAGCCCATCGGGTGAACACCCTCAAGGATAGTGATCGGATCTTAGTCATGAATGATGGCAAGGTGGAACAATTTGGAAAGGCGTCGGTATCCACAGTAGATGCATAATGTTTTGTGACAAAGCATGTTATTATTATCATTGGCTGTAACAAGTTTAGCACTACTTAAAGTTTAGATTTTAGACACTTTTGAATCAAGTGGTTATGAGTTAGTTTATTCCAGACGTCTGTCGATCATTGATGATTATTTATTTCTTCAATAACGGTTTTTCCATCTCCTTCAGACAGACCAGTCCTAAATTGAGATTTGTAACATGGACCATGGTACAGGAGACAGGTACATGCATTATACAACGTCTAAACATACAGAAAGATCTCTTTCAATAAAAGATCAAGAAATATAAACTTTGTATGGATACTGAACAGTAAATCATATCTGAAAAATCAATAGTGATGTACAGGGAAACAAATATGTTCTATGAACCAAGATTTATGATCTAATATTATAGAGAATACAGATAGTACTTTTCTTTTTGTACTTCTCCCCTAGAACAATTCACCTTCCTCAGTAGGAAGAGCACTTTCAGTTTATCCTACAAGTTAAGCATACAGTGCTTTCCAGAAAAAACGAAACCGAGAATTATCAATGTTTTATCATAACTTACTCACAATTATAATGAATAAATGACACATATTTGTAAAGCTTAGATCCTCCTCTTTCATTTTATGAAACTCATATGATGCATATTTCTTGGTTTTATCTGGGGCGCACTGTATATTCACATATTCTGTTAGACATTGGGGATTTTATGTTAAATATGCATCTGTTTTCTCTTGACAATCTTTTTTTATAGTTTTGTTTGTTCATTTTATTCTTGTTTCCGTTTTTAGTTTAAGTTTTTGCTAGTAGTTATTTTAATATATATCTATGCAGGGTCTGTAACTATGTTCTATTTTGTAGAAGATCTATGTACTCAAAGGGTACTTGTAAAATTATAATATTAGGTAGTCATTGTATCTTTAAAAAGATAGTATATATATTTTACCCCTTCTAACATTCCTATATTTAGAAATGAGCTTGTTGTGTATTTTTAAAAATAGAATTTGTGAATCCTAATGGAAAGATAAAATAAATGCAGATTGTTCAGGTCTTAGAAGGTCACAGAAAAATTCATTAATGTTTCATCTTTGGAACCAAACTTAAAATACATGTACATAAAATGATCATATTTTTGTATTTAGAAAGATATCTTTCAAGAACTTGAAATAGAGGAAGAAACAATCTCTACTTTACATGAAATTTTGATCGCAATAAAAATCAATAGATATTGTTGTATTGGGATTCAAATACTAACAGTTTTACTTATATGATGAATTTTGATAACTTTACTTTATGTTTATTGCATTCTTTGTTTAATTGGTGTGTGTGAACTACTTTCTTCAATCGGCCAGAAATGGGAATCTACTTTTAAAGAAACATTGTTATGAGTGTGTGAAACTCTTTAAATTATGGGAGAACTGTAAGCAATACTAAGTTGATGCCGAAGAGACATGTTGTTGTTTTTGGAAATACAATATTTGTCCTTTATTTTCTGTACTTAAAAATACACAATATAATGAGCCATAGTGTTAATTTCTCAGGGTTCAAAATAACATCGTTAATATATAGATGCTGAATTGAATTGATGATATCAAGATGAAATGAATTTATAATGTTAAACTTTTATTTCACTTACTTTTTTCTTCATCCAAATGGATGTTACTACAAAGGTATTTTATAGAAGTTTGCTTTGTGTGTGCTAAATTTTTATCTAAGATATAAATGTGCCTTTTATGAATTGCATCTTGTAGTTATCTTGTTTGCATACGGTAAACAAAATATGAATACCGGTATACATATATGTTTCAAAATATTGATGATTATAGCGCACAAATATAAATTACAGGTTGGTTACCATTAAATTTATATATCATCAGTAGAGTGCCAGAAATGTTACAGTAAAAGTAGCTGATAATATGTTGTATTATCAGAATCCTGTTTCAGCACTAAAACTGCCAGCCAGGTACACAATTTTATTGTATTTGATGACATTTTTCAAAAGGATTGAGCCATATTTTATTGAAATGTATTTTTTCTAATTTGTGTGTGCCTTTAAGATAAAGCATTGCATGGTTGCCCCCAAATGGGATATTGCTGGAACATGATATGCAGGTAAAAATAAAGCTAAATATTATTGTAATGGTTTTGGCTGGTTGGTGTCAATTTCGACTCTTAGGTGCCATTAAAATGATGTGAATAGGACTATATTTTGTATAGGATTTTGAGTGTGGTAATTAAGCAGTCATTACAGGGTAGGTACATGAAGTAGACTAACTTACGTAGCCGGGGGCAGTCTTCCAAAGGGTCCACTGATTTAGCTGTGCAAGCATCCATTACCTCCTATTTTCACTGTTATATATATACCGGTATACAGTGTATATATATTTTGTTTGTTTTATTTTACTTCTCATCACAGATTTGTATAATTTGTTATATTAGAGAGCATTTGAGTAGATTCTCCAATGTGCTGGATTTGAAGATGGTTGGAGATTTGATAGAAACCACGCTTTCCTCTATATTTTTGTTTTGAGTATCATCAATAACTGAATTTTGAAGAAAAATAGTGCAATGAAAATAAAATTTCTTCAAAATCAATGCTTTGTAGCTAACTTCTAAGCAGTTGTTTAGAAACTGAGCCTAACAGCGAGGTTGTCACAGAGAGAGAAAGTGAGGGAGAGTTATAAAAAAAGCTGAGAAATAATAAGAGAAGAATTGAAGAGAAAAAAGAGTTGAGAGAAGGGAGTGGGCGTATCAAGAAAGCTATAGTATAAAGGAATTAAGAGAGAAATAGAAAATTGTTTTAGAGAGAAAGAAGGGAAGGTTCAAGGATGGGTTAGTGAGAGAAACTGTAGATAAGGGGGAGAAGGAGAGTGCACAGTTTGACCGTCAACGAAGAAAGACAAAGAATACATAGAGGTAAAAATGCCTACAGAAACCCAGAAATTTGGCTCTCTTTTTTTTCGTCTCACTAATTCTAAATGTTTCCCATTGTCAAAATTGAACGAAGAATGTACATTTAGACATTTGGAATATATGAATGTGTACAAAAGTAGACTTACTTCTTTTATCTTAGCAATTACCTGAACATAAACATAAAAAGGAATTAAAAGAAGATGTTTCGGGGTTTTATTACATGATTATGACAAATAAAACTAAATTGATCTGGAAACCAGACTAAGTGAGGAAAACTTGATATGAATATTCAAATTGCAAATTGTCAGCGTTGTGGAGAGGACGAAGTTAAATTCTACTTAATATTTTCACATTGGGACATCATGGCGGCCCCAAAAGAGATAGCAAAGAACTTGGAAGACTTTAAAGCAGCTCTGTGTGAAGTAGAGAATGTATTCGAGCCAATGAATTCTGTCAGCTTAGCCGATATCAATGGAAAGGTAATTGCATGATCTGCGTGGTGTCCCATCTATAGAAAATTATGCTGGGTTTAGGAGCATGTGCAGGGCGCTGTGCAATACTAAAAATACACTGAGTTTATTTATATTTCCGACATATTTGTTGGTGTACTGTCTACTGATAGTGATACTCACTAAGTCTAGGATGTAGGTAACAACATATTTATATTCTAAATCTTATTTAAACTTAATTATAAAGTTTAGTCTTGAAAGTTGAAGTTGAATCAAATGACAAAAGTTGAAACTTGAAGTTGAACAAGGACAATCATGTCACTCAAAGTATAACTCAAAGAAAGTCAATATCTGAGCCTCTAAATTCTGAATCACTAAATTCTGAATCACGTTTGCTTGACAGATAAATCTGTCCGCTTGGAGAGGTTTTTAAACATATTTTGTCTTTGACATTCTCCGACGAGAAATGAGAGCATTCTGTGAATCCAGACGTCTCGGTGGAACATAGACTAGATCTATCCCCAAACAAATTAGACCAATTTTTTAGTTGAACTAAGGTAATGATTCATGTTTGCAGTTCGATTTGCAATTTGCATTTTGCATTTTTTGTTGTTGCAACTTGTGATGTGCTATTGTGTAGGTGAATGGTTGGGTTTTCCTTTCACAATAATGCACATAATAGTACACTCTGCATGCTGACACTTTACGCAAAATCAATCCTCGACAAAGATGATTACCGGTACTGTAAACTAGCACTAGCAGTCCACAACCACCTTTCTGAGTTAAATAAACATTAAGCCAATCCTCTCTCTCTCTTTCTCTCTATCCAATTATCAACATCACACCCCACCCTGTCTATTAATTAAACCCATTTGAGGGGTGTTGGACAGTAGTCCAGAAGAGGAAGACCATCTTTGGTCATGAATTTAATTGTAAGGTTGATGCAGCTTTACGGTAATCAATTTACCTAGTAAAAGTAGCAAATGTTGGTGGGAATTCACATTGAAATGACAGAGAAACACAGTACAAGGCATCTCTCTAGCTCAATACATGTAGATCTATATAAATAATTCTGTTTTCTATGGAATATTGCAGTGATTTTATTATTTATGAAATGTCATTCTTTTATTCATTTTTCAGCTGGATTCATTGGACAAGGCCAAATTACAACTCACCTTTGCCTATTCCATCAATTCCTTCTTCTGGAGTAAGTTTAGAAATTTACTCAGAAATATCTCTAGCTTTTAACATACTTTTTACTGTACTGTACACCATTCTCTTCAAAGCTCCTTTTAAAAAAAAAATTTTTTCTGAAGAATGATCAAATGTTATCCACAATGTTGAAAATATTCTGTCTCTTTATAATGCATAATCTATTTGAAGACCATATCTCTCATACCAAAATGAAATCCCCCCTTTTTTTTTCTTCGAAGCATATGTTATTATTACTTCTGTGCCTGCTGCATTTGTACTATGGTTTATATTTTCATATTTTCTCTACATTTTGAATGATATTACGTTAATTTATTTATTTTATATGTCATTTTGATATTGTGATCTGTTATGATATTCCATATGTTATCTTTGTATACACTGTCATGATGATAGAAATAAATGTCATTTCAATGTTCAACGTTCAAAAGTTAATGTAACTAAGACAATCATTAGCTGTTATAGAAGTTGCTGTATGTCAGTGATGTCCAATTGTGACTTTTAAAACCAGTAATAACTCTCTTTCCTCACTGCTACTTTTGATTCTCTTGATGGCCAATATTTCATGTGAAAAAATGGCCCCTAAGCATTAGCTGAACATGTCAGTGTACATGTTGTGTGTTCAAGAAGGTAAACAAATCAATATACAGTCAAACCTGCTTAACTAGGGACCACCTGTATAGAAATACAACCTGTCTACAAAGACCACATTTTTTGTTTCCCTTGTAGATGGTTTATTAAAACATGTACTAAAGGAACCTGTACATAAAGTCCTGCCTATAAATGCCACTTTTCTTGTCTCCCTTGGATGGTCTTTATAGACAGGTTTCACGGTACATGTAGTTTCAATTTGTAAAAGTTTTGTAAAGTTGTAGCTTTTAAATCAATATTTTGCTCTTTTACAGTGTATCTGTGCACACAAGGCGTTGATCCAAGGAATCATCCTATCAAACAGGAATTAGTAAGTTTTCCCTCCTACTGCACTTCAATGTAATGTCTTATAGATTTACAATTTGTTTCCTTTCAAGCAAGATTTTGTCATTCTCACTCTCACATATGAGTGATATTGAGTATATGATTTATAGAGATTTTTGTTTGTACTCATATTGAAATGTTCATTATTTGAGAGGAATATTAGATAACTTTTATGAATAGAATGCTGTCTGGACTCTAGTAAAATTTACTGTGCTCCAGCAGTATAAACTTTAAATTTTTCAGTGATTTCTTTGGTTCAGCTAATATTTTGTGTCTAGATTTTTGTTTGTCATGTCATTGATGATATGGAAAAACTATATTCTGATGTAAAACTGGTCTCTTTCCTTTATCACAGGGCAGAATACAGAAATACATGTCAAGGGTAAAGGATATTGCTGATAAAAAGAAAGGTGAGTATAAACTCCAGTAATTACCAAATTGATCAAAGGCAGAATTTAGCATTTCATGTGAAAGACTTTACTGTTACAAGTATGTTCATATGTTCATGTTTGCAGATCAGTCTCTGGACATTATCATGCTTTCTTATAGTTAATGCGATGAATAAGTTGTGAATCCACGAATTAAGCATACTAATCATCAACCAGCTTTTGTTTCCTATAAATAATGTAATTCTGTATTTTTTTCTTTAAAATGATTTTGTATTCTTTCACATCCCTAGCTGCCAAACTGGATAAGGGTGCAGCCAAGAGGTTCATCAAGAATGCTCTGTGGGAAAATGAAGCTGGTAAAGGTGAGTGAATACTAGTTTGATTCTCACAACAAAAGGTTCTTGAAAAAGGTCTCAATGCCATATAGTCAACAGATAGAATCGTTATGGAATTACATCTATTATATGATGTCAGCTCTCATAAATTTGATTTTGTAACAATGCAAAGAAATTTTGTGATTGTGAAACTGCAGAAATAATTTATTCATGAACAAATGCTAATAGAATTCAGTTTAATGACAGACTGTCTACAAATCTTGGATCTATAATTAGGCTTTCATGGAGGAAATCAAACTAAATAGGCTATGTGAAAGGCCTGTTTATATTACTTTTGCACATAAAATTTAATTTCATGTAACAGTGTTCAGATTCTTAATGCCCACATTTGGTCAAATCAGGCCACAAAACCTAAGCCTGTGTTGTATCAATCACTGAATCTTGATTTGTATTCATGCAATAATTAACTTTTTATGGTCAACTGTTTTTCAATGTAATTTGTATATTGTTTACTTTATTGAAAATTGCAGATAAGTCTCAAGCAACAAAGAGGAAAGTAGAGGATGAACCAGCAGGCCCATCTAAGAAATCAAGATGACCATTGTCATGTGGATTAAAGACTCTAAAAGACACGGATGGTTGAGATCGACTTGCTTCCAGAGATACACTGCAAACTGTCACTTTTTGTATGGACCATGGAGCAGAGGAATATCTCGAAGCTTCAGTGATTCAGCAGCTGAGAATCTTGGAAGAGACCATATTTTACAATGAGCGACCAACATGGGAGTATATGTCTCTACAAATATTTCAACGTGATGAAAGAAATGTTGACATGAACCTGATATGTTGCAGCCTCTGAAGATATCTTTACAACTTTAAAACTGACATTTACCCATTGGAGGTTATCTATGTTTTGTATTATGTGCAGTTTAAATGGGTTTACCGTAGATATTTTCTCAGGCTTCAACTTAACTGATTAAACAATGACGTAAGTGCCTAATGTTTCAAAATTGATAAACAAAAGCATTTTTCTTGTAAACACGCTGAAAAGTTTAAAGTTTTGGTTTATTATCTTTAGAAATGATTTATTTGTGGATTTTAACCTTTCCTGTTAGTATACTACTTCAAACAGGTTTTATCTTCTGAAATCTTTCCTATTTTCCTCTATTGCTCTCTGTCTCCCTCTCCCCTAACCCTATCTCTCTCTCTCTCTCTTCTCCTATCTCTCTCTCTCTCTATGGAGTTCTTGTAAATTATTATATCGATGTCGTATCTCTTGCTAATTTCTGTATAATCCTCCTTTCTATCACATGCTTTTCTTCCATTTTAAATTCATCCTTTTTCTATTTCACCCTACATACTCGGAAGAGAACCAAATTGTGATATAATCTGTGGAATTTGACCTCATAATCTCTACCCTTCTTATTTAGAGTCAAAGTGGGATATGAAATGAATTATTTTATTTTGTTGATTGACTTTGTGGTCAAACCAAGGAGTTATTGGGCCTAATAATAACTCCTTGAACAAACAAGTAGTAATAACTACAGTCACATGCTATTTTATGAAACTGCTTCAATATGAAACCTTTTAATGTGGAAATGACAAGTGGGGTGGGGGTGGGGTAGAATAAGGTACAATGTACTTTGGTTTCGTCAGTGTTATCTTTGTTGCATGGTTATAATTCAAGATAGACTATGCTACAAATCCCATTAAATTTATTACATAAAATGGCATTTGTTTCTTGAATGGCTGATTATATTTGAGTTGCTGTAATTGAATCTTGATGAGAATTATTTATAAGTTGTAATGGACATCAAAAATTGTTTTAGTTGAGTATGGTGCATGTTCAGGACATTGAAATAATAACATAGCAACTGGTTCACATTGAAACGGGCCTTGAAAGATGGACTACTGTTGGAACTATATGAATAATAGAATGGCTAATGTGTGGGTAGCTCAGGCCTTCCAACCAAGAAAGTAAGCTCCTTGTGACCAGGACAGGAAGCAATGGAAGCATTTTAAAGTCACATAGAAGTCAGTTCTCATGGGGAATTCGACACCGTTCGGGTGTTTACCCAATAACAGGCGTTGTCAATCACCAGGGTTAGCCTTGAGTTTCATGACCATTAGACCTTATGTAATGCTTTGCTTTTCCTTCGCCCATGCTCCAAGAGACTAGGGGGTAATTCTTGACTGGCCAACAGGTTTGCTGTGTGCAGATTTGTACTCCCATTAATGGTATTTCCACCAAGTCTGGTGTCAGCGAATTACGGCCTTCTGCACATGGAAACTGACTACCCACTCCCTTTAAGTGGTATACTATAAATAATCACGTTGAAAGCGTTAAGCAAATGGACTTTGGACTTGTCAAAACAACGATTTTGCCTTAATGATAGCAATATACATTGGGATCACGCATTATGTGTTTGTATGAAGTCATTCACATTCTGGAGTTTAAACATGAAATGAGCGAGTAATTACCACTTTACCACAGAGTCTATACCCTCTGTTCTTTTTTGTCGACCTGTTCCTGATATTCTCTTTACTTTATTTTAAATAAAAAGACAAAACAAAAAAACACAATGTTAATTTGATTGGTTAATTACAAAGATATTTATTTCTTTCATTGCACCATATCAATTTCATAGTATAAAAATATAATCAATGCTGGCACAATAGTAGCATATTATTTCATTTCAATGAGTACCGTAATTATACAACTTGGTGGTGGCAAAAAAAAATCACAACACATGAGATGTATATTCCATAATACACATAATTTGCTAATTCTTATTGCATGAGCAAGAATACCATTCATGTACACACCCTGTACATTTGAAATACAGAATGAAAGAGAGAAAGTTGATAGATGCGATCGATATCATGCTATCACATACAATTGATGCAGTTTGCTTCAGGCCTCTGTGGAGATATTGTTAGATCAAAGCTCATATTTACCAGATTATTTTAGCATTCTATTTCAATTCCATGCACCTTGCAACACAGGAATGGTTCATGCATTAGTCTGCACAGGCATAAAGTGTGAAACAGTACTGTTGTAACACGCATGTAGTAATCAATTGTACGGACATTATTTTGTGTATGTTTATATGATATACATGGACTTTCAAGAGCATGTTAATAATAAAAGTTGTTAAGAAAATTATTTACTTATTAGAAAACCGAAGGTCCCGTTGAATGGTGCCAATACATATTGGGCTCAATATTGATTGCAATTTTTTACACAAAGTCAATGGCGAAACCAAGAAGAGTAAAATATCAGGCAATATTGCCCGCTTGAAACTACTAGTTTGCAGACAAGGCAAAATATACATAGTGCATGGTAAAATTACCTTGTATATCCAGTACCGGTAATGAGAAATATGTACTTGCAATTATGAGATCATTCTTCATTTCATCACATGTGACATGGGAGTCTTATTAGAACCCCATTTTCTAATATTTATGTGATCCAGGTCATCAAGAGAGGCCATTCGGTATCTCAGATACAGAATACAAAAATGCAACATATGCTGATTCACATGTGGGACCTATGGTTATGGACGTATGGCCCCCATTAGGAGAATAAAGAGGGCATAATTCAAGCTACAATAACCAAAAGTTTAAAATAAAAAAGAGCAATTGCTAATCTACAATATACTAAATAAGTAAATATGAAAACACAAGTTAAAATAAGCTTTAAAAAGTAAAGAAAAAAGTGAAGATTCAAAGCAGTAAAAGGCTACTATAGCAATAGGTAGCTACTTTGCAAGCACAGAAAAATTCCATTTCATATGAGAGCTATAAATGAATTGTACATCATAAGTCAAAGTCTCTAAAGGTCATTTTCATGGTACTTATCATCAGAGGTATTTCATTCATTTCAACACCAATGCCATAAGGCCAGCATTTTACTGTATTTTACATATACCATATATGGAAGTAACTGAAATTGTTACGAAACATGACATGTTCAATATAATTTATAAAAATATGATGTATATCATGATAATTTGTTCAGCTGCATAAAGGCAGTTTGAAAAGACATTCATTGCACCCTAATCCAAGGATATGAGCTTATATCATGGACTTTCATTGGAACACATCTATGTTTCTACAGAGTAACAGGTCAATGAATTCTAATTCTGAAATCTTCACTGGATGAACTACTTTTTGGGTCACTGATTTACAAATCTATTGAATCAGATCATGCTAGCATAGACAGGATCCCCTAGCTTGATGAATCCAAATGATTCGACGGCAAGGTTGGTTCCAAAGACCGGGTTTGCACCATACGTCTTCTGATCTGGGTCATCAGGAGTGGCCATTCGGTATCTGAGATACAGGATACAAGAAAGGAAGATAAAGAGGTGGTTATATAAAATTGAATGAGAGAAAGAGAGAGAGGGAGAGAGAATAAGAGACACCACACACACACACACACAAAGAGGTCACAGACTGAATGCAAACCAGATGCATAGATGAAGTGGAAAGGGGCAGATCTACAAAAACAAGTTGAAGAAGACTCTACTATGCCTCCACCTATATATATTTATTGATCAATGATCCTGTGACCTTTAACAATCGACCTAACAAAACCTAATGCTTTTCATTTACTTCTTTTGGGGGTTTTTAAGTACTTGAGCACAGTTTGGTCAACCTTGGTTCAAATTTTGTTAAATTATCACATCATTTTCTGGGTTATTTTAACACTCTTGTGACTTTTGAACCTTTGATCTTTGCCCTCTTATGTCAAAATTCGAATCAATTCATCCTTGCATGCTCATGCATGCATACTTCATCCAAGCTTGCTTTGAATTACTTTTATGCTTTTCAAGTTATCATGGTAGCTAGATATTTTTTGGTATTTTACAAACTCAGGCCTGATAAAAACCCTCTCTTTTTTTTTTCCCCAATTTTTTTTTTCTTCCCTATTTCTCTATTCTTTCCTATGTTGCCCTATTTTTTTCCCAGTTTTTCCAAATGTTTCCCAATTTTCTTACTCAAAAGTGAGCCATTTTTTTCCCGCGAATCCTCTTCTTTTTTTTTCACTCAAGGGGGGCGTGGTTGAGGGGAAAACAAAAAACCTGGTTTTTTTTAGTGCTCACTATCACCCCTGAAAATTTGGTAACTCTGTGACCTAAACAAATTTAGCAAAACAAAGCTGAAGTGACAAGGTCATCGCAATGAAGCGCTTAGAGCCCTGTACATACTTTCAGGTCTCACTTTGGCTTCGTGTTTAAAATTGATAAATACAACTCAAAACTAAGAATCATATTCATAACTGTTGTCCAATGTTTTGCATAAAATTAAACATTACCGCGTAATCTTATTTTATCGACATGTTTACATGTACAGGCTAGTATTTCAGGTCATATGGTTTACAAAATACTCTAAATAAAAGGATGTAGCTTACGTCCTTAGCGTCTTGAGGGGTTCTTTGGTCTCCATGAACTTTCCTGTATTTGGATCAACAGTGGTTTGAGGACACCTAGAAGGTTTGAAAACAGATATTGGGTATAAGAATCATATGGGTCATATACATCCATTTATAGGATGTTAAACATGATAGCCAAGCCATGATAGCCAAAAGCTCCAGTAAAATCATCCCTGTCATACACTTGATATACATCTCAATACCTCACAAATGATTTAGTTGATGAAAAAAAATCCATCTTTCTCGTTATCCAAGTATTTTTAGTGCACTTTTCTCCATGAGTGATCTTCAAACTAAAGTCCATCCGTAGCATTTGGTAGATGAAAGAGTACATGTACTTGACTATAATACTGATTGGTTTAACATTTTGGCCTTATTGCCACTGTGTCACCATTGAATGAGGTTCCTATTACTTCAAATGCAATAAAGTGGGGGGAAAACAGCTGAGGTACTTATTGACACCTACTGACCTGTTTGTGAACAGTTTCTATGGCTAAGTGTGCAGACTTGTTTTCTATAATATTTTATAGCATTTTTCTTTTTTCTTCTTTTCCTGGGGGTGCAAAGTACAAGCTATTGTTTCAATATGACCAAAAGTTTCTATTTTTTTTTTCTTCTCAATTCATGTGTAGGGTAATGAGAGTTAGTTTATATACCGTAGCTTTACTATACACACAGCACCACATAAATGACTAATGCTTGAGGCCGACACATTAAAACAAGTAAGACAGAAGGAAATACATGCAGAGAGGAAGCATATTATACCTAGCACACTTGTGAGTTGTCCTGAGATGTACTTCATCACCGATTCTGACATACTTCCACTTGTCCTGTGAGAGGGAAGAATCATATAATTTGTAAAAGAATGACTAACCAACTTCTCATAATCATGATCACATTCTGTATTAGTATAATGCATATTAATTATTATTTATGAAAGAATCCCAGCTCCATATTCTTCCAAACAGTATTTTATCACTTGTCATAGCAAAGCATAAGTCCTACTAAATATTGAATTACTACGATTGGTTCAAGAGATATATAGGTAGAATGTCTTGTCTACAGACATAAACTGTATGTATTCACACTAGACGGGGAATATGAACCCTCAACCTCTTCCTTGAGGCGACAGTGATTGAAATACCACTGAGTGAATCTGCAATTCATGAATGCTCTTCAGTTCTAAATGTATTTACTTTCTATACCATATTGTGATAAAGTCATAAACATGACACATCCTACAAATAATTACGAGAACTTTGTTTTAAGCACTGATAAAGCATTATTTACTTATTGTATATAATTTTAATTCTTTAATCAAAACCTACAAGCTTGTACAAAAATGAATTGAATACCAAAGTAAATGGTGGCAAAGATTTTATTTATTTTTTAATTGAAAAAAAAAAAAAAAAATTGGGGGGGGGGGAGGGGGGGCAGGGGATGAATTTTGACAACAATAACAAAAACTTACTTCACTGAATGCAGTGCTTCCCTCGACCACAATATTGGGTCTGAAGTTATCATAGTGTAATTGTTGGTCTAGCTTTGAGTTGAGGTTGATCAGAGAGGTTTCACTTAGCAGGTGAAGATGAGCAAGGTTCTGAAACATTCCCTGATAAAAAGAGCATCACAAAATATTCATGACTCGATCATTGGAAATTCATATGAAAAATAATGAACAACTGGTCTCCTTTGATAACTAAGATTCTGAAACGTTTCATGTTAAAAGAGCATAACAAAAGAAAATATACATGAGTTGAATACATGTATGAAAAAAAAGATAAACTATTCCTTTTGGCAAGGCTCTGAAAAATGAAGGTTCATTGAAAGAAAGAAAAAAAAAATATCACAAATTGATATGCATGAACTACCAACACAAGCACCCCGCCCCTCCAACCCCCAAACAACAACAATTTATAAATGATAGGAAAATATTGTTTTTAATTAAAGCAATCAAATGAGAACTATTGCATATATATATTTTTTATTTTATTTTTTTATTTTCATTTATTTATTATTATTATTATTATCATTATTTTTTATGTTTTATTTTTTATTTTTTTTATTTATCTATTTTTTTTTTTTTTTTTGGGGGGGGGGGGGGTAATTTCTACACATGTATATAATTGTGTATTTCAAAGGTACTTCGTTCTAGTACGAGACTTTAGCTTCAATCTACCGAGTTCAAAATGGTTACAACTATATTCAAGGTATTTATTCTCAAATTCAATCATCAATCCTCGCATCTAGGAATATGCATCGCTTCACTCCGATAAGAGAATTCATTATTCATTTTTCAAAGATGGAAAATTGAGACATATCATAAAGATTGAAAAGAAAATCGCTGTATACTTACCTTTTCCCCATGCTTGGACTTGCTTCCCCACTTGCGATCATTCTGAAGGATCTTATCACTGCATTTGGTAGAGTAACAGATCAATCTGTAGCGAGGTTTGCCTAGGTACTGACTGAACCATTCGCTGGCTGCTTCACCACAATCTTCACCTTGCACACCAAGTCCAAGGACCCTGCAATCGCAAACAAACAAAAAAATTGGTTTATTGAAATCATATCATCAAGGTAACGTTACATTACATTACCTTAGAGAGCCAATCAGCGCTCGTTTTATTTGCGCCTTATTCCTTTTAGTTTCCGTTTATTGATCAATTTTGCCTTTCTGTTTCATTCTTACATTTTACTCTGATGAGTGCAAGTTGAAAAGCTTTAGTATGGCTCTTTTCAACGCTATTCTCCAAGGTTAGTTTATTCAATGATTGAATCATAGTCTCACTATGCACCAAGGAAAAAAAATTACATAAAGGAATATAGTTAGAGAGAGAGAGAGAGAGAAAGAAAAATGTCTGGAAAGTTTTGCACATGTACATATTTTCCAAAGGCTATTGATGTCTGCATCCAATACATAAACACTCTTGAGCTTCCTGTAAGAACATTTGAGAACATTACTAAAATATATCCTGACAACTGTCCCCATTATGACAGTTACCCATTAGAATCTTTCCGGTCAACTACACCCTAGGACATTACCCCATTGAATAACTAATTTAATATAGTAATGTAGGTTAATGTTTTAAGCAGGGTTTGACACTAACAGGCACAAAAACTTGAAGCTTGGACCCCCCCCCCCCAATTTTTAAAAATATTTTTTACGAAGAGCTCATGCATACATCTGGACTCTCTTCAAATAAATTTAGTGTGGAGTCATGTCATAGGTGTAAATATCAAAGAGGATAGTTATCCTAAGATTGTAGAACTTTGTCTTTGGATAGTTGCCCAGGGTTATAATTGTATGAGTCCAAGGGGCAGTTGTCCTAGAATCTCATTTACTAATTACTATTCCATTTAGCTGCTTATAAGTATTGGCTTGCATGGTGATGTAGATATATACAGTAGGCTTGCGGTGGCACCATGTGAGAGAGAGGGACCAACAGTCCTTTTCAGGACTACACACCCTCAAGAAAGATTAATGAGAGTCCTTTTCCCGACTCCCCAATCCTCCCTCTCTCTCTCATGGTGCAACCGCAAGCCTACTGTGTATTCCATAAAGCAAAACAGAAGAGAAGCAACACACTACCTTGAATTGAAGACCCTTCCTCTCAGATCACTGATAAGAGGGACAGTGAGGGTTGGCATGCCAGAAGCATTGATCAACAAACTCTGCATGTCATCAGACAGAGTAGGCACTACTAGAGCTAAAGATGGTTGACGAATCCTAGAAACGCTGTCCTTGTTTCCATCAATGATGAGGAAGGATCTGCGAAAGAACGGTGATTGATATTATCATCAAAGTTAATCTTGTGTTCTAATAATAACATCATAACTGCTGGTTCCTTAAAAGCTAAACATTGGATTAGTGGAACATACCTATGTGATTGTCTGATTGATACATTCCTTGGTAAGGAAACATAATTATAAGAGTCATTTTTACTTTCAAAATGGTAATGTTTACATTGGCACCAATCCTAATCGCTGAAAATCAAAGGTAACAATCAAAGGTCAATACTGACTTACATTCAGGTATAAAACAACCCAAAGACTCTTTAATGTTACTAGTATCCTAGACCTATGGGTTAAACAGTGGATGATCATCTGCTGACAACACTGATCAAAAGCCATACTAACACCAGGCAAGGTACTGCATCCTGGCAAGTCTAGAGGAAACATTAGAGAATATCTATCGGTTACCCCTTCTGCCTTTTCCACCGGATAAAAGATCAAGATTATTTCTAAATTGGAGATATAAATATACATGTGCATTGGTAAATCTCTTCAATCAATTATATATTCCATCAAATTTATTTTAACACTTTAATTTTTTTATTTTGTTTTGTTAATGTTGTTTAATATTAAACCGGTAAGACAACTTCAAACATTACATAATAATAACCCAGACTTTCTATACAATCTCACCTATCCATGACTCCATCACTCTTAATCCCAAGAGCATTACACTCGGCCTGAGAAACCTCCAACCCTCTGCACGACTTGATCGGATGGATAAAGAGTTTAGACACTACTCCAACCTGCGTGAAGTTGCGTCTGTCTCTACGTAAGAAGATGTAGGAGATACCCAACACACCTACGGCACATGCTACTAGACCACCAAGTACAAGGTTATTGTTGCTAAAATCAGGCATCACGATTTCCTTGTTACAGTCCTTTTAAAATCTGTAGAGGGTAAATAATGAAATAAAGTTTGTTAGATGGGAGGATAAAGTTGGTTAAGTTGGAAGCAAACTGGTTTTCTTGGTAACTGAATCCGAAAATAAGTTAATGCAAACAATAATTTACTCTACGTTGAGAAAATTGTTCTAATGAGTTGTCACTGAGCATAACCTCTAAATCAAAAATCTTATTGTCAAATTCTGTGTACATTCAGTCTGTTAAATCTTACATGCAAGTCACAAAAGAAATAAAGTTTAAGAAAGGTTTATTACAACATAAAAAGTAAAATACACCAATCACCTGAAAAAATAAATGAACAAAATGTGTGAGTCAATTAATATACTAATTAAACAAGTCATTCAACAGTTTACTGGGAGTATATTACATTTGCAAATTTCTTTGTAGAAGTAATATTTGAAGCTTATACTTTAAAAACAGACAGTAAGCCTATAGTGACATACTCTGTAAAGAGGTCTATACTCAAAGGAGGGAACCCCTGACATCAAGAACAAAACATACTTTGGTGATTACACTTGAAGGCAGGTAACTTGGTTTATTTTATTAAATTATTGTTTTTGTATTTACATGATTAAATCAAAGCAGAATGATGAACTGAGCAATTTTTTTGTTCATTTATTTTCCATCTTCATATACAAAACAATAGATCATATATTATACATTAAAACAAAAATACATGCAATCATATGTGTGAAAAGTATCATAGAGACCAAATTAACCAGTTGAAAATGAGAAAAGGGAAAAATAAAATACCGGTAAGGCCAAAAGGCCTTATAAAATAAGTTCCCTAAAAGTATATAGAATAGATATATCATTTTTTTTTTCCAAACAAAAACAAGCAGTGGATAAAGAAATAACAGCATAGTGTAAAATAACATATGATTCACTGGTTTTATGTCAGAACCGGTATTTGGACAAGTAATACATTTTCAGATATTTTTTGAATAATCTTTGGTTAATGGAAAGGGGAATACATTTTGGTAATGAATTCAAAATCACTGGGAGATTACACAAGGGGATTTTTCTTCATCTTTCTTCATTGGAGGTGCTAGATTTTAAAGATCAAGACCAGTTCGAATCTTGTCATGCGATTGCATTTTGAAAGAAACGTTGTGGAATCGATCAGAAAAGGTTGATCATCTAGCATATAAGTATTAGTGTGTACTGCAAGGTTCTGGAATCATCAAATGATAATAAATTTGGCCCAGTCTTCGTAAAGTTACAAGCACTAGTACACAGAAAGATGTATATGGGACTACACACAGGTGCGTTTATCTCTCACATACAAATAGATAAACTAATTTACCAAATATGTCAATTAGTAGGCGGTTTCCCGGCAAAATTTTTATCATCATGTATTAGTCGAAACATATTCTTTCACATGATTGGTAAATTTCATTTTTTGAAATTGGGGCGTTTCTAATACTGATCTTTACCTTTAAACTAGGTCATGAAATACATTATATCGTTAGTTATAGGAGTCTAGCTAGGCAACATAAATCAAAACTCACGACTGTCACTTCGATGATGATCTGATAGGGCAGCAGTGAAGAAGAGATCGAGAGCGCCTACGTCTGGTTTTAAGTTGTCTTTCAGCTGGTTGTGCAATACTAGTAGCTGTGCGTGTGCCCAGGTACTAGTTGCTATGTGTACCGGTACCAGTATACCAGGGAGTTCACCCTGTACTGCATGTACTCTTGTACTTGTGTGCACAATCGACGGTGTTCATGACCTAGCTGTGTGGAACCGGAGGGCAGCAGATCGAGGGAGCCTTATATTGGAAGAAACATGTGAAATATCATTCTAGATCTATACTAGTATTAAAAAAAAGTTTTGACTTAATAGTGATCACAGATGACTGTAAAGGAGAAGAGGAGAACATGGGAAATTGACCACCATTTTCTTTGTTTTGGTTTGGATGCCACGCCCATCCGGGCGCCATCTGAATGAGAGGATCCAAGTTTCAAGTTTCAAGTTTCAAGTTTATTTGTCTTCCAGAAAACACATGTGACAAAATATAATAGAGTATAATCATAACAGTACAATGTAGAACAAAGGAAGACGAGGAGACCTTGGTTGAAGCACAGCTTGTTAAGTTAAGGCCCCCTCATATGATGTGACAAAGATAACTTATTTATGAATACAACAACAAATATGGAATATATAAAACTATTTACAAAATACTCTCAGAGAACAACTACCCAACGTTGCATCTAATATGATCTAATATGGACAAACCCAAGCCGACACCAAGTCGGGACATCAATGAGTTATTGCTCTCTGAGTGCAGAGGTCAAGTAGGAATATATGGTATATGTAGTATGTACAGATGAGAAAGAAGAAGAAAAAAGAAAGGGATAAAGGGGGTTATATGTCAAAGTCAAGAATTAACGAAAAAAAGATCAAGAGTAGAGTTAAATATGCTACAGTACACTAACAATAAAGCTTGATAACACATTCATGTGTCATCGACATACTTGTCAAGAAAATATGACTTAAGTCTACGTTTAAAAACTGAGATACTTGAAGCATTTGTTATGGTAGTATCAAGTGAATTCCAGAACCTGGGGCCAGTGGACATTAGTGTATTCAAAGTGAAGGTTGTCCTTGCATATGGTAAATGGAGAGCAGAAGCCTGTCTAGTATTATAGCTGTGAATTTGGTTATTTCTTCTAAAGATTTGAGCAAGGGCAGGAGGGAGGTCTCCAGAGTGAATGCTAAACATGAGCATTCCAAGTTGCATTGAATAGAGATCTTCTAGTTTTAGAATACTGTTTTCATAATAAAGTAGATTTGTATGTGCACGATAATTTGCTTTACAAATTATTCTAATAACCCGCTTCTGCACAACAAAAAGCCTGTGGATTTGAGTTTTGGATGATTTGCCCCATGCCAACATACCATAATTGATATATGATAAAATAAGAGTAGAGTACAAAATGAACAATACCTCTTGAGGTATACATGATCTCAACTTATAAATAACACCAGTATTTTTTGACACCACTTTACTTAATTTGTCCACATGAGTTTTCCAATTCAGTTTCTCGTCTATGTATATTCCAAGAAATTTCGTTGAAGTTACTCTCTCAATTGGGTTATTATTGAATGCCACTTCGCCTGGCAAAATATTAACTGAATTACTGAACAGTATATAATTAGTTTTCTGAAGATTCAAGGATAACTTATTAGCATTAATCCACTTCATTACTTTTCGAAACTCTTCATTAACAGTTTTCAACAATGTTTGTGGACATCTATGAGAAAAAAATACACTTGAGTCATCAGCAAAAAATATGAATGATAATACACTTGATGAGCGTTGAAAATCATTAATATACAAAATGAATAAAAGTGGTCCCAAAATGGATCCCTGGGGAACACCACATGTTACTTTTTGGGGACTAGAGTCAATTCCATTTAAGGACACATATTGCTTTCTATCAGTTAGATAACTTCTAAACCAATCCAAGGCGACTCCCCTGACACCATAATGACATAATTTACTTAAGAGAATTTCATGGTCTACAGTATCAAAGGCCTTGGAAAAGTCTAAAAATGTACCAATGGTGTGTAAGCGACTATCTAAGGCAGAAGCAAGTTTATCTATAAGGTGTAAGATTGCATGTGTTGTTGTATGCTTCTCCCGAAAACCAAACTGATAATTACTGAAGACACATGTTTTGTTTAAAAATGTTATAGTTCTTACATAAATAATTTTTTCCAGAATTTTTGAAAAACAGGTTAACAAAGAAATCGGACGATAATTTGTCAGTAATTGAGAGTCACCTTTTTAAAAATTGGTACAACTTTTGCGATCTTCATGTTTATCGGTACAACTCCGCTTGACATAGACAAATTAAAAATATGAACTAGTGGTTGAAGGATACCGACAATAACTTGCTTAATAAGTTCGTTCCCAATATGATCATACCCAGGACTTTTCTTGTTCTTGAGGGCTCTAACAATACCAAGCAATTCTTCTTCATTTGTGGGCACCAGAAATAAACTTTGCATGTTAGGTTCTACTAAGTAATCATGAAAATCAGTTTGACTGTTAGGAATATTTTTTTTCAGATTCGGACCAATATTACAAAAATATTCATTAAACTTTTCCACTATAATATTTTTATCTTCAACCATTTGGTCAGCTATATTCATTTGTATTATACTTGTTACTTTACATGCTTTTTGAAATACATTTCTTATCACCTTCCATGTGCCCTTGATATTATTGTAAGTTGCTTTAAACTGTGCTAAATAGTATTGTTTTTTGGCTGCACGCAGCACAGAAGTCAGAGTATTTCTGTAAACGGAATATTTCCTTTTTAGAGCTACCGTCCCTGCTTTCTTATACTTATAAAACAGCTCATTTTTCTTATTTATTGATTTCAGCATAGCATTGGTGACCCACGGCATACGTGGAGTTCTTCTACGGTTGTTTTTACTCTTTACTACTGGAATATTAGCATCATACAACAATAAAAACCTATTCATGAAAATATCGAAGGCACTCTCATCACACTGATTTAAAAGAACATCACTCCAGTTTGTCGCCAATAACGCCTCTCTAAACTGATTAATATTTTCTGGGGTGTTTCTTCTAACATAAATGTTCTTATGGGTGACTACAAGTTTTTTTCCCAAAGGAATTACAGTATACACTGGAAAATGGTCAGACAAGTCTGACACAACAATAGTAGATAAGGGAAAAGGTTGTAAGTTACTAAAGATATTGTCAATTAGAGTAGCAGAGGATTCAGTTACTCTTGTTGGTTTTGTTATCAAGGGCAACAAAGAAAACGACAACATCAAATTCAGGAAATCATCAACATGAGCATCAACGTTGTGCTGTAAAAGGTTTATATTATAATCTCCAACCAAAAATAAGGATTTACCGTTAAGTGACTGGCTTTCCAAAACTCTCTGCATTTCGTCCAAAAAAATGTTCAAAATACCATTGGGAGGTCTGTACACGACTCCAATTTACGATATTATTTTTACCAGAAATAAAGACTTCAACAAATAAAGCTTCTAGATTTTCAGTCATAACATTAAGCTCGTGACATACTCGATAATCGAGCCCAGACGGAACATAAAGGGCAACACCACCACCACGTCTGTCTACTCTACTATTGCTTAACAAGTTATAACCTGGAATAACAAACAAATTTGCATCATTTTCATTGGTGAACCAAGTTTCAGTGACACCAATGGCAGTTGAGCCTGAGCTGATTTTGTTCACAAATGATGTCACATGTTCAAAATTTTTACTCATGCTGCGGATATTAAAATGAAGAAGGGAAAGCTCTTTATCTGTGGCATTTTTAACTGACTCAAAGAACTGTTGTTCTGTAGAATAATTACATCTTAAAGAAATATTTTCAATGCTGTCACTGATATCACTCAAGCTAGCTTCAAGAAAATTGCAAATATTATGGTCATCTATTTGAGCCATGATCGGTCAAGATAGGTGACAGGATAAACACGAGTACTGATAACATAGACATAAGGAAACGGCTAGCTAACTTAAATACAACTAGAAAGATAAACACTTGAGACATATAGAATATGAGACAGCAAGTTGGAGAGGAAAAAGGAAGGTATAAACAGGGAAAGGAAGACAAAAAAGAACAGAATGGAAAACATATATATAACTGCGCACAGGATACATTGCGCAGATAAGTAAAAAGACAATTCATATGAAGAAAAAAACAAAACAACAACAGTACCAATAGTGTAGTAAATAAAAAGAGATGTTTTAAATATCATGTGGCAAGAGCTATCAAGTTATTTATAGACAAAGGTTGAATTTAGAGCCTGGCCAAGTCCGCTTCAGAAAAGATGGTTTTCTTAATATATGCACATTTTTAAGTCATTGGAAGCTCCCGGTTCCCGGTTTTACCACCCTGGCCTCTCTTGCTATATAGCTCCCCCCCCCCCCAATGCTCTCTCTCTCTCTCTATCTCTTTCTCTCTCTCTCTCTCTCTCTCTCTCTCTCTCTCTTTCTCTCTCTTTCTCTCATAATATATATCACGTCCATAAAGGATCAGTTAAGCCTATTTTTTGATAAAAACTTGTTTTGTTCATGTCTGCATGGGCAACGCCTCCCCCCCCCCCCCCTCCCCCCACTTCTGACCCTAGGTATATTCCTGTAGTTTCCCTATGCATCCACCTGCTCAAACATTACTCTTTCATATGAATATTTGGATTCATCATAATATAATTACAAATAATCATGCAAAATTTACCAGGAAAAACAATGTACTTGTATTTCTTTATGGATCTTTGATGAATTGTTACCTTTAATTCTTTATATTTGCCTGTGCAGATCCGAAAAACACATTAATTCTTGCCTGACATGCGTAATTGCAAAAAAAAAAAAAAAAAAAAAAAAAATTCGAACTGCAGAAACCCCTCAGCAGATGATGCTGTCACACAAAAGTTTTTGATATTTTGTGAAATCTTGATGAAGGAACGTTGTACTTATAATAAATCCCTAAGTTCACAATACAAGAAGCAACACATTTGACTGAAAACATTTCTTCAGAATGCTAGGTGAATTACACATTTGAGACAGCCGACAATAGCTGATGAGCAAAACAATATATCAAACTGATAGTGTTGCAAACTATTTCAAAACATAGCCTACATCATTATTCCTCTCACTAAGTAAAAAAAAATGTGTTGAAAACAACATAGACCGTACCAGGAATCAATATAATAACAGATATTGTATTTTCACCATTTATTTGTATTAAAGAATTACTAATTTGGTACATGAGAGGATGTAATTAACAAAATATACAGCATTAAATGCTAAATGTAGGGGCTACTATAGAATCCACATAAATATCCTTTACTTTATCAATTAATAAACGTCAATAATCGTATAAAAATAAACATTCAAGCCATGTTATACTTGATTTATACGACCTACGAAATTAGCATTTTTTCAACTACCAAATACAGTCTGATTAATAACTTTAAAGGTGTGTGTGAATTTCGCGGTAATCAGTAGCTCCGGGGCTGAGATCTCGAGGAGGTGGGGGGGGGGGGGGGCAATGATGCCCATAGGCGTAGCTATAGATTTTCGGGGGATGGGAGATAATTCCCCCAATATTTGACTGAGGGGGATGGCCAATATAATCACCCCCTCCCCCAATGTTATGCATATTATGTTTCAAACATTATTTTGGGCCAAATAAAATGATTAATCATCGGGATAAACACCTTTCTTTTTTTGTTTAGCGCTATAAGTATACGCACGTTTTTTAATGCAACTTTACCATTTTGTACAGCAAAATAATGGGGATGAGGCTGCTATAGTAATATAAAAGAAACTAATAATTGGTATAAGGCCAATAAGCTCACATTTTACACAATATCTCAAAAAGTACAATGAATATGGAGGTAAAATTTTTGGATGATATCGGGAAAAATATTGGCTTTCATTTGGTATCAATATCATACTCTTCTTCCGGTTTGAGCCCAGTGAAAACTCTGGGCATGAGGCTGAAATGGGCATTGCCCCCTTTAACATTTTGAATAGCAAATTTACAACATTTCTGTTAATTTTTTTGTACGGTGTATGGTCCGAACTTGTAACTTACCATAATTTGAACAAAGTATAGGCTATATAAGCCCAATCGTAAGTGAAAAAAGTTCTCATTGATGGGATAAACACAGATTTTTTTGCGCTAAGCGCATCATTTTGTAATGCAACTTTAACATTATAATATATGTGTAACAAATTTACATCGTTTTTGATGAGAAATACATGGCCTATTAGTATTATACTCGGTGACTAAACATACCACTTTAAAGTGATTCGGTAACAATGTTGAAGGTTTAATAATGAACAAATTGCGTGATTTTTGTATGAAACGTTTTCGTTTTACTGTACTAACCATAACATGCAAAAAATCCTGAACAAATTCTCAAACCACAAAAATATCTATATGGACCAGGGGCGTACTTAGGGGGGGGGGGTTTGGGGGTTCAAACCCCCCCCCCCTTGGTATTTTTATGTGTGTAACCCCCCTAAAAACACCTAAACCCCCCCTTTGTTTTTGTTTTTGTTTTGTTTTTAATTATTTAAAAAAAAAAAAAATTTATACCCACGACTAACCTAAAAAAGGTGACCTTACCCCCCCCCCCCCAACGATGAAAAATGTCAAATTTTGAAATTTCAAGACCAAAAAAAAAAAAAAAAAGTGTCCGCTTATCCCCCCCCCCCCCCCCCCCCCCCCCCCCCCCCCCACTGAGCGACTTTTCGGGAGCTAAATATTTTGACCCCCGCCTTGAAAAAATCCTGCGTACGTCTCTGATATGGACTATGGTTCTCTTAATTTGAAGGCGTCACTGTGCAACATCCTCTAGTAACAGTAAATTGTGAGAGGCCTATATCTAAATTTCGCTTAAAAGTATTAACCAAATTTCACGCTGACGCGCCAAAGCAATGCAATCTACGTCACTGATAATGACAATGCCCCCCCCCCCCCCGGGGGGGCGCCCCCCCTCCCTACTCTGAATAGACCCAGTCTTTTTTATAAGTGATTTAAGGACGTAATATCATAATTGATCAAGTTGGTTTAAAATATAGCCACAAAACATGCCAAAAAGCCCTGAGGCTGAATTATAATTCAAGAGCTAGGGCTTCCTCACCTCTTTGCTTTGGACACTAGTTATACCAAAAACGATCAAAAGACCACTAGCACCCACCCCGCCCACGCCCACCCACGTACCGGTAGTGCTCGAACGAAGTACACTAAGTACACACATGTAAACAAATGCATGAATGAGCGAAAGCTGGGCGGACGTGGACTGAGCAAGATCTGCAGATAATCTGATTGAGTCTGCGCTGATAAATGGGTAAATTTGACTTAATTCGAACGATAGGTATTTGTTATGATTATTCTAATTCATTTCTGCCTAGTGTGATGTCAATAAATCATTTTATTTTCTTGCCTCTCGACATGCGACATCTCCCATACTTCTTTACGAATCAAATGCACTTTCCGTACTGTACGTAGGCTTACGTAAACTGCATCTCCATGGTGCGCCGATGCACCACGCCACACGGCCGTGTACATTATTGGTGTCGATCTATTCATACGGATTACGGTCATCAAATATTGTTATCTCCATGAATATTTAGCTTCTCTGTCGTCATTCTCGGAGACCCATTTCCAAGTGTGTATTGGATTGCAGTACACAATCTATGAATACATGTAGATCTATCATCAATGATTCAGTGTGAATATTATATGTTTATGCTTCGTCATACAAATATGAATTGCTTTCTCAGTTTCTGAACAGTGTTACAATAATACAGTAATGTAATCATCCATTAACTTGTTGTCATGTGCATCAAATTCTGTAGTAATTGTATATTTGTATCAACTAGCTGTAGGCCTAGGTGTATAAAGTTTTTTTTTAATTCAGTTTGTCATGATATGGTGAATATAACCATATACATGTATGAATTAAAGTTCATATTATACTAACCTTTTGTTAAAAGCATGCATTTCATTATGAATCATGTGAATGATAATGAATCATATGTCTGTGTTCCTATGTAATTGTGCAGTGCAACCCCATTACCCCCCCCCCCCTGGTAATTCAGGTCAGGTTACTCAGGTCTCCCTTATTTGGTATTATTTGTCATGGTGGTTTGTGTATTGTATCTCTTCCTTTTTTTTTATTGATTACCTTTTTTTTATAACCCCTTTTCTTTTTACTCCACCCCACCCTCACCCTTTGAAAGAAAACCCCTATGCTGCCTCTGCAGTTATTGACCAAGTGTTTATTTATACTTGAGATGAACTTGAAACTTTAAAGGAAAAGTAATGAAATTGAACATGAGGCCGTGTTAAATTTCATGATTTTTTAATTTTTTGTATCTATTTGTTTATTTTCATTTCAGTTTATATAATATATATTAGTATTATTTATTTTCGGTGGAGGGTACGTCTTATCCATATTATTTCTGTGCTTTTTCTAAATTTGTACCATGGGTTTGTTTATCCTCCTGCAATAATTATCACTTCTTGCACTTCTGGTTGAATTGGTATAGAGTAAACTTACATTAATCTACAATTTTTTTATGACATCACAGGCTGAAACTGCATGGGGAAAACTTTGTGATACTAACATTTGTAATAACTACTAACCACCGAGGTATAAACAGACATCACAGGATTGGGTCAACTAACACAACTGGCACGAAAACCTCTTGGTATAGATTGCTGGACTAGCTATATGCTCCATGCAGTGTAACCAGTATTAGAGCATGACTGACGCTTGAGATGTGCAGCACTGCAGGTTCAGTTCAGGTCTTATGTTAGTATCTGTTTAATACTCATTCTCTTTTCAAAATGGCAAGTATTAGCTAGGGATACAGGCAGTCAACACCTTGTTGAATAAAGTGCCTTCTGATGTAGAGCAAATTCAAGCTGTATTCTAAACAACAACAACATTAAAACAGCATCTCCTTTCTTTCCCTCATAAATATAGAAATATGTGCAAATGCATGTATAGGTCTACTGGACGCGCATAAATTGGAAACAGTGCAGCTTATGGGCATATAATTTACCAGTATATTCTATTTTCTTGTAATATTTTGGGAGTTGGAAAAGTAGAGGGACACATTTATTTAGCCTTGCCCTATAAACCCCTTGCTCCAGACTGGTGTAAAACCTCATCCCATCCAAAAATTACTGACACACATACCTACATGAAATGCTATGTAACCCAATTCTATGTTTCCTAAAGAAATCCCAAAATTCATTTTACTAACTTTGTGGCATGCAAAAAAAAGTCTTGATTGTGTTAAATGCATGGATTGAAATTTCACTTAAGTTGTACTCAAAATGTATAGTTTATGATGCACAGGTGTTTGATGTTAATTTGACTTATCTCGTTTCTGGTCGAAGTGCAATGCTCTTTTTTGTAATGGGTAATGAACATGCACACAAAAATACCTTTTATTGATCCATATACAGGTACTCATATATTTTTCTTTGAATAAATAATATTTTTCTGCTCTGTTTACAGCTGGTACCGGGAGACTCAAAGAAGGCTACCTCAAAAAATATGGTAAGTAGACATTAACCCATTGGGTACGGGAACAGGGTAGATCCTGTTTTAAACCTATGCAAATGGGAGATTTCGGTAGTTGACAGGTTAAGAGGAAATTATTCTGAAACTGTCAAAACCTGTTTGGTGCCAAAAACTTCCCAAAATAAATAAAAATTTATGAGTTTGTAAACATTATGAATATGAATTAACAATCTTGGAATCAAACATCACAATTAATCTGTTCTGAATTTTGAGTAAAAAAACTTATCTTTGTCCAAAAATACAAAAGAAACGAAAATGGTCTGTTAAATCCACATTTGGCACTCAAAGGGTATAGAAGATAAATACAGATGAGTTAAAGTCTTCCTACCTTTATTAGGAGAAACAGGTATACCCAACTTTAGAAATACATGGAATCTCTATTTTGCGATGAATGGTCAAATTTTGAATAAATAGTCTACTATTTGACATATTTGCAGGTAACCTCTTGACGCGTTGGAGACGGAAACACTTCACCATCTACCAGGATGGTCAGCTGGCCTGGTCAGACGGGAGCGGTCAATCTCCGGACAAGGTGGTCAATGTCCGTACGGAATGCTCCATGCTCAGGGTGGGGGCACAGGTGGGGTCCGACGCCCCAACGGTGCCCTCCGGGGCTAGGAAGGACTTCATGTTTGCTATGACGGCGAAGGGAAAGAACTATTACATTCTGGCAGAGACAGAGCAAGATTTGGTGTAAGTTTATGAAAATATTTTAATGAAGTGAAAGTTTATTTTTGGAAGGTGTATTTTCTAAATAAATATTCTGGTTTTACAGTTTTAAACCCAATATACACTTTTCCTATTTGACTGGGATTTAACAATATTTTTAGAAATGAAAGTTTGAATATGGAATAGTGAAATCTGATCTGCTGGGTATTGCAGGCCTTCCAGTAGAGAAATGTCTAAACTGGGACTGCAAATTCTGATGTCATTACAATTCACATCTAAAAGGGCCCTATTATCTCACTATTATCTCACTAATACCCTGCAAATCTGATTCCATGATTCATAAGACTATCAAATATCTCATACTTGAATATTTTACATATTTAAATTTGATGACATTTTAGTGTTCCAAAATATGACACAGTTGGATCATATATAGTAGTCTGCAGTAAACTTTAGTATGTAAAAGTGATAAAACTGTCAAGGAGGGTAACTGGCTCAGTGGTAGAGCAGTGATCTCATAACAGGGAGCTCTCGGGTTCAAAACCAGGTACTTGCACTCGTGCCCTTTGCCAAGGCAATAATCCCCAAAGGACTTTAAGCCGTCGGTCCCCTTGTTGCATACATACTGGCATACCATGCTTTCTTAGCAATTGGATAAAAAAAACCAACCAACCAACCAACCAATCAATGAAAATGCCTATGAGCCAACTGAACCATACTCTGAATTTGCTTTGCCTTTCCAGACAATGGTTAGAGGTGCTCTACCAAGCTAAAGGTATCCCTCATCCTAGTCAACAACAACAACAACAACCTGGAGCACCAGTGGGTGGAGGGGGAATGCCGCAACCTCAGGGTCAACTAGCGTACCCCTCACAACCACCTGCTAACCAGCCCCCTGCATATGGTTTCAATCCAAATGTGACTGGTAAGTCATCTTAAAAGGATATGTTCATCAGTTTCCATGACAGTGCAGAAGGCCATAATTGGCTGACACCATACTTGGCAAAAATGCAATTAATGGGTGTACAAGTCTGCACACAGCAAACTGTGGTCCCATCAAGAAATACCCACTAGTCTCTCGGAAAGTCTTTGGGGGAAGGAAACGTAGGATAATGACTTGACCATATGGGGGAATGGGTGAAAAAATGCAAAGCAGTATGTACAAAAGGCCAGTTGGTCATAAAACTGAAGGCTTATCCTGGTGATATAGACATCACTTGTTATTGGGTGAACACCCGAATGGTGTTGAATTCCCCGTGAGAGAACACTCTTATGCATCTTCAAGTGGGCTCAGTGCTCAAAAAGCTGACAACAAGAGTACCAGCATATATATGCACATGACAGAATATATTGGTGCAAATACTCTGCAAAAATAATATATTCTGCTTACATGGACTCATGGATGACATAAGAAAAAGTTTCTCGTGCTTATTTTGGGAACTGTTATCAATAAAATTTGATTCAAGAAATTCAATGTAAGAGACCATTTATTGTTTGAAGTTTCACGCATGTTTGACTCCCGAAATAAATAGTGTTAGATGGAATGTTGGAATGACCACCAATTATTGTGAAAGGTAACCCTATAATACTGAGGCACTGGCTGAAAAAACCTGCTTTATATATCTAGGTACCTAGATGAAAATGAAGTCAAACTATAAAAGAATTCTTCATGATTTTGGGGTACATAAGAACACTGAACAATAGTCAAATTAATCTGATTTCTTATAATAAAGTACTGATCTGCCAACTTCCAACATTTCAACAACACAGCGTTGAACTTCTCTTCTGTGAGACTTACAAATTTAAATATTGATTTTTTAAGTCTAATTAAGCATCTAGATGGAGGTTGACTACCCCCTCCAGGTTTTTTGTCTCCCTTTGTCTCTTTTCTCTTTTAAAACAAATCCTATTTACCATTCGAGAGTGTGTGGAGGGTGGCACATGCAACCATAGATGCCCTTATAGAGCTACACCATTGTCTATACAAATTTTCTATCTTTCCTAGCATTATTGATGAAATATCTGTTTAAACATCATGTTAATATTTGAGACAGGTTGACGCATATATATCTTGATTTATCTTGCCAGGTCAACCACCACCACCTGTAGCAGCAGCCCCTTACCCTCAAGCGGGTGGCTACCCCGCCCAACAACCCTACCCTGCCCAGCAACCCTACCCCAACCAACAACAATACCCTGTCCAACAACAGAGACCTGCCTACCCCACGCAACCCGGCGGACCTGTGGCAACCAGGCCTGTACAACAGACCGTCATTATCCGAGATAACTCTCCGCAGTATTCCAGGGGCGGTGATGGATTCGCCACTGGACTCCTTGCTGGTTCCCTTCTCGGAGGCCACCATGGATGGGGGTGGGGCTACGGAGGCGGCTACGGAGGAGGCTACGGAGGCGGTTACTATGGTCATGGGTATGGAGGCGGCCTCTTCGGTCATCACCATCACCATCACCATGATCACTTCGGCCACCACGGTCACCACGATCATCATGACCACCATGACCACCATGACCACCACGATTTCGGAGGTCATGACAGCCACGGAGGGCACGATGATTTCGGAGGAGGAGATGATTTCGGAGGAGGAGGAGATGATTTTGGGGGAGGTGACTTTGGGGGAGGGGACTTTGATGGGGGAGGTGACTTTGGGGATTAAAAGATATGTATAGTTTTGAGTACGAACATTGCACACAAGCATATACATTCTTCATGTGCATACCAGTATGTATTCTTATGCATTATGTTTCATGCAACTACTAAAAGAGAGCAAAATGTATTCCTCTGTGTATGTTGTTAAAACTGTTCTGAATGGAAAGTATATATATAATTTCCCACACTTGGTACCAATGAAATTGTACTTTTTAAAAATGAAACAATTTAAAGATTCTGGAGGGATATTTGTAAATGAAGGTATAACAAAAATCTGTTACTACACTTTATAAGTAATTTATTACTTTACCATACATATGCACATCATTTTAGAATAATGATACCATTTCTTTTTTTTTATCTCCAAGAATCTGATAATCTTGATAATGTATAAAGAAAAAAAAAAAATTTACTATCCAGATTAGGAGTTTTTAAATGAGAGAGAGAGAGTTTTTACTCTGATTCCATTTGAGTTTATTTTATAACTTTTTAGGTGACACACAAAACAAAATTTCTATATTACTTGCCAAGCCTTAGACTTTTGAACTGCAATTACTATTTTATGAAGTATTGGAGGGACAATTAATATTTGGAAAACTATGTATTAACTGCTCCTCCTTAAATATTTAGACTGCTGTTTGAAATGCTGGGCATCATCCTTTTTATCCTCTATATGTTAACTTACTGCCAAACATTAAAGTAGTTAACTGGTTTCCTACTGAAATTTCTCATTTCCATAGGCTCAATACATAAATAACCCAGTTCCCATAGCCTGTGGGTTTATACGACAGGAAAGGAGGGAGTGCACAAGAAATGTAGCTCTTGAGATTCTTTTACACTTGACATGGTATAAACCATCTATTGAAAAAAAAAACATCATAGAAAAATAAAAATGACAAAAGCTTAATGCCCTTTACATTTCTGCAGGAAACTTCAGAGCCTTTGTTGAGCTTGTGCATCAGCTAATTTGATTATCTCCTCAATCTACCAATCGTTTATGGTTAAACTTTTAAATTTTGCTGTACCATATTTGAGGCAGTTTATTGCATCATAAATGTACAAATTAGATGGACAATTTGGCTTCATTTTAGACAGTAATTGTGCCAAACTTTGCATTACTTTTAAAAATATATTTAAGAAATAATAAAAGTCTTGTATAGCACTTAATAATATGTTTATAAGTGCTTTATATTGTAATTATGAGTAAAAAAGGCTGAAATTCTTGAATGGAAATGGCTGGAATTTTTTAAAACCTGTACTTAAAAAAAAGTAATTGTGCCAAACCTTGCATTGCTGTGTTATGAGTTTGTAACGGGTCACGAAGGACAGAAAGTCATTGGAGTTGAAGGGCTATCCAACCTTTGTAATAAGGTCATTTGTTTGAAAGCAGAAAATAAGAGAAACAGAATGAAGACAGTTTGAAATAAATCTGACCAATAATAAGAGAGTTTTGAGTGTTTGAAATCACTAAATCTCTTTGAATCTCAATTTGGCAGTTTGGTCAGTGGAGTGTGACGAAGTCAGAGACAACTCTACCGCTGTGTACAATAATCATTCTCTCTTGGGGCATTAATCAATATATATTATGGATAGAATGTTATTAGAGGTCCTATAATAATAAAAGACCCTCCTGGGTATAATACATTTTGAGAAAAAAAAAAAAATTGTAATTTTGTGTATTGAAAGAAATGGAAAGTTGTCGAGCACTTTTTCTCAGTGACATTACCGATGTAGCCAATTTGAAGTGTCCATACGTATAGTGATTACAATTTCTTAAAATTCACAACTTTTTTTGTCCTGATTCATTCAAACATTCACCAGTCTGTTTATCTGGTTTTTCTGAAGTTCGATTAAGGTTGAATTTTTCCTTTTAATGAAACTAAAGTTGAATG